ATTTATACCTCTTTGTGAACATACTTACACCTTTTCTCACAAGTTACTCCTTTTGTGAAATAATTTTTTTCATAAAATTTACATATTTTGTTGGAACTTACACCGTTTGTAAAAACAAGACTTACACGTTTTGTGAAGTCACTTACATCTTTTGGGAAAAAATATACACTATTTTTGAAAAGTTACTTCGTTTCTGAAATAATTTTTTTCATAAAATTTACACCTTTTGTTAAAACTTACACCTTTACTGAAAACTTACACCTTTTGGTGAAAATACTTACACCTCTTCTGAAAAGTTACCCATTTTGTGAAATAATTTCTTTCATAAAATTTACACATTTTCTTAGAACTTACACCTTTTGTAAAAACGAAACTTATACCTTTTGTGAAGTCAGTTACATCTTTTGTGAAAAAACTTACATTATTTCTGAAAAGTTACACATTTTGTGAAATAATTTCTTTCATAAAATTTACACATTTTTTGAAAGTTTATGCCTTTTTATAGAAATACTTACACCTTTTCTTAAAAGTCACTCCATTTGTCAAATAATTTTTTTCATAAAATTTACACCTTTTATTGGAACTTACACCTTTTATGAAGCTACTTACATCTTTTGTGAAATAACTTACACTATTTCTGAAAAGTTACACTCTTTGTGAAATAATTTCTTTCATAAAATTTACACTTTTTGCTAAAGCTTACACATTTTCGTGGAAATACTTACACCTTTTCTGAAAAGTTACTCATTTTGTGAAATAATTTTTTTAATAAAATTTACACCTTTTATTAGAACTTACACCATTTGTGAAAACATTTTACACCTTTTGTGAAGCTACTTACATCTTTTGTGAAATAACTTATACTATTTCTAAAAAATTACACATTTTGTGAAATAATTTCTTTAATAAAATTTATACCTTTTGCTAAAACTCAAACATTTTCTGAAAATTTATAGCTTTTCATGAAAATACTTACACCTTTTCTGAAAAGTTACTCATTTTTTGAAATAATTTTTTTAATAAAATTTACACATTTTATTGGAACTTATACCTTTTGTGAAAATAAAACTTACACCTTTTGTAAAGTTACTTACATCTTTTGTGAAATAACGTACACTATTTTTGAAAAGTTAAACCTTTTGTGAAATAATTTCTTTCATAAAATTTACATCTTTTGTTAAAACTTACACATTTTCTGAAAATTTACACCTTTTCGTGGAAATACTTACACATTTTCTGAAAAGTTATGCCTTTTGTGAAATAATTTTTTTTATAAAATTTACACATTTTATTGGAACTTACACCTTTTGTGAAAACAAAACTTACACTTTTTGTGAAGTTACTTACATCTTTTGTAAAATAACTTACACTATTTCTGAAAAGTTACACATTTTCTGAAATAATTTCTTTCATAAAATTTACACATTTTGCTAAAACTTACACATTTTTTGAAAATTTATACCTTTTTAGGGAAATACTTGTACATTTTCTGAAAAGTTATTCATTTTGTGAAATAATTTTTTTAATAAAATTTACATCTTTTATTGGAACTTACACATTTTGTGAAAACGAAACTTACATCTTTTGTGAAGTTACTTATATCTTTTGTGAAATAACTTACACTATTTCTGAAAAGTTACACCTTTTGTGAAATAATTTCTTTCATAAAATTTACATCTTTTGTTAAAACTTACATCTCTTCGTGGAAATACTTACACATTTTCTGAAAAGTTACTCCTTTTGTGAAATAATTTTTTTCATAACATTTACACCTTTTATTGTAACTTACAACTTTTATGAAAACAAAACTTACACCGTTTGTAAAGTTATTTACACCTTTTGTGAAATAACTTACACTATTTCTAAAAAGTTACACCTTCTGTGAAATAATTTTTTTTTATAAAATTTACAACTTTTGTTAAAACTTACACATTTTCTGAAAATTTTGCACCTTTTCGTGAAAATACTTTCACATTTTCTGAAAAGTTACTCCCTTTGTGAAATAATTTTTTTTATAAAATTTACACATTTTCTTGGAACTTACACCTTTTATGAAAACAAAACTTACACCTTTTGTGAAATAACTTACACTATTTCTGAATAGTTACATCTTTTGTGAAATAATTTTTTTTCATAAAATTTACACTTTTTTTGAAGCTTACACATTTTCGTGAAAATACTTATACCTTTTCTGAAATGTTACTCTTTTTGTGAAATAATTTTTTTCATAAAATTTACACATTTTCTTGGAACTTACACTTTTTGTGAAAATGAAACTTACACCTTTTGTGAGGTGAATTACATCTTTTACGAAAAATTTACACTATTTCTGAAAAACTACACTTTTTGTGAAACAATTTCTTTAATAAAATTTACACATTTTGCTAAAACTTACACATTTTTTGAAAATTTATACATTTTGTAGAAATATTTACACCTTTTCTGAAAAGTTACTCCTTTTGTGAAATAATTTTTTCATAAAATTTACACTTTTTATTGGAACTTACACCTTTTGTGAAAACGAAACTTACACCTTTTGTGAAATGACTTGCATCTTTTACGAAAAATTTACACTATTTCTGAAAAATTACACTTTTTGTGAAATAATTTCTTTAATAAAATTTACACATTTTGCTAAAACTTACACATTTTTTAAAATTTATACCTTTTGTGGAAATATTTACACATTTTCTAAAAAGTTACTCCTTTTGTGAAATAATTTTTTCATAAAATTTATACTTTTTATTGGAACTTACACCTTTTGTGAAAACGAAACTTACACCTTTTGTGAAATTGCTTACGTCATTTGTAAAATAATTTACACTAATTCTGAAAAGTTACACGTTTTGTTAAATAATTCCTTTCACAAAATTTACACCTTTTGTTAAAACTTACACTTTTTAAAAAAATTTACACATTTTTTTGAAAGTAATTACACATTTTTCTGAAAAGTTACTCTTTTTGTGAAATAATTTTTTTCATGAAATTTACACATTTTGTGCAATAAGTTCGTTTTTACAAAATGTGTAAATTTTATGAAAAAATTATTTCACAAAATGAGTAACTTTTCAGAAAATCTGTAAATTTTCAGAAAATGTGTAAGTTTTAGCAAAATATGTAAATTTTATGAAAGAAATTATTTCACAAAAGGTGTAACTTTTCAGAAATAGTATAAGTTTTTTCACAAAAAATGTAACTAATTTCACAAAAGGTGTATGTTTCGTTTTCACAAAGGTGTAAGTTTCAAGAAAATGTGTAAATTTTATGAAAAAAAATATATTTTCAGAAAAGTTGTAAATATTTCCACGAAAATGTATAAATTTTCAAAAAATGTGAAGTTTTAGCAAAATGTGTAAATTTTATGAAAGAAATTATTTCACAAAATGTGTAACTTTTCAGAAATAGTTTAAGTTTTTTCACAAAAGAGGTAAGTAACTTCACAAAATGTGTAAGTTTCGTTTTTACAAAATGTGTAAGTTCCAATAAAATGTGTAAATTTTATGAAAAAAATTATTTCACAAAAAGAGTAACATTTCAGAAAAGGTATAAGTATTTTCACAAAAATGTGTAAGTTTTCAGAAAATGTGTAAGTTTTAACAAAATGTGTAAATTTTATGAAAGAAATTATTTCATAAAAAGTGTAACTTTTTAGAAATAGTGTAAGTTTTTTCACAAAAGATGTAAGTGACTTCACAAAAGGTATAAATTTCGTTTTCACAAAAGGTGTAATTTCTAAAAAAATGTGTAAATTTTATGAAAAAAATGGTTTCACAAAATGAGTAATTTTTCATAAAAGGTACAAGTATTTTCACAAAAAAGTGTAAGTTTTCAGAAAAAAGCGCATGTTTTAACAAAATGTGTAAATTTTATGAAATAAATTATTTTACAAAAGGTGTAACTTTTCAGAAATAATGTAAGTTTTTCACAAAAGATGTAAGTAACTTCACAAAAGGTGTAAGTTTCACTTTCATAAAAAGTGTAAGTTCCAAGAAAATGTGTAAATTTTACGAAAAAAAATATTTCACAAAAAGAGTAACTTTTTAGAAAAAAAGTGTAAGAGTTTTCACGAAAAGGTGTAAGTTTTAACAAAATGTGTAAATTTTATGAAAGAAATTATTTCACAAAATGTGTAACTTTTTAGAAATAGTGTAAGTTTTTTCACAAAAGATGAAAGTAACTTTACAAAAGGTGTAAGTTCCAAGAAAATGTGTGAATTTTATGAAAAAAATTATTTCACAAAAGGAGAAATTTTTTAGAAAATGTGTAAGTTTTCAGAAAGAAAAAAAAGTGTAAGAGTTTTCACGAAAAGGTGTAAGTTTTAACAAAATGTGTAAATTTTATGAAAGAAAATTTTTCACCTATTGTGTAACTTTTCAGAAAAGATGTAACTTGTTTCACAAAAGACGTAAGTATTATGTGTAAATTGTCAAAAGTTACACCTTTAATAAGTAATTTCACAAAATGGGTAAGTATTCACAAAAGGTGTAAGTAATTTTACAAAAAGCGTAAGTTCTCAGAAAAGGTGTAAGTAATTTCATAAAAAAGCATAAATTCTCAGAAAATGTGTAAGTAATTTTAAAAAAAAAACGTAAATTCTCAGAAAAGGTGTAAGTAATTTCACAAAAAATGTTAAGTTTTCACAATATGTGTAAAGTTTCACAAAAGACACAAGTTTTCTCAAAGGGTGTAAGTTTTTAAAAATCACTTAAATTTTTTTCTGAAATTACTTACACCTTTTGTGAAAATTTACGCTTTTTGTAAAAATTTATGCCCTATTGCGATAATTTATACATTTTGTCCTATAATATATTATTTTATTAATTTACCTAAAAAATTGACCCGTTTAATACACAAAAAGATGTAAATGTAAAATAGAGAAAGTCTAAATGCCTTGCATGCATAAGAAAGGTCCATGTTGAAATGACGATATGTAATTTCCAAAATTGTGCGGAGTAAAAAACATTTTGGACAAACCTCGAGGGGTATTTATAATTTAGCATTTCTCAATTGAATCCTCCTGAGCAAGTAAGCACAACACATCTTCTTCTTCCCTATTATACAGACGCAAACAGAGAGAGAGAGAGAGAGAGAGAGAGAGAGGAGATATTCTGCAACTGAATACTCTCAATCCTTTGTTCATATTCAATCTCCGATCATGGTTCTCGAGGTCAACAACTCTTTGGTCTTTCAATTCCCAAATTCTCCCCCTTTACTACCGTTGCTTATTTTTCAAACTAGGGTTTCTGATTGATCGTCAATTTTTTTTTTCTTTTTAATCAGGCGACGATGATTTGCATTGACAATTCAGAATGGATGCGAAATGGCGATTACTCTCCCACTAGGTTTCAAGCTCAAGCCGACGCTGTTAATCTAATCTGCGGAGCCAAAACCCAGGTCACCAATACTCATAATTTGTATATATATAATCAAAGTTCTATCTTTCAGAATTAAACTTAAATTGACCAGTTCTGTTCTTGTTTAGGTGTGTTTTAGGGTTTGTGTCTGATGTTGTTGTTGGAATGTTTGGGGATGTGCAGTCTAATCCGGAGAATACTGTGGGAGTTCTGACAATGGCGGGTAAAGGGGTTCGTGTTTTGGTCACTCCTACCAGTGACCTTGGCAAGATCTTGGCTTGCATGCACGGTTAACTTCTTCACTTGTTTATTTTTTAAGTTTATTTGTTCTCTTGGCACAATCATGAACATGTTTGGTAGTTTGAATATAAAGCAGTCCCTGTAATTTTTGGACTTGAGTAAAAGAGTTTTAGAAATCAATTTGAATGTTTTTGGAGCTATTGAAACTGCAGGCATGATTCTTATCCCCAAAAAAAAAAAAAAAAATTGAACAAAAGAAAGGAAACTACAGGCTTGATCTGTATCATATTTGCAAGTATTCCTTGGGTTGTAGCATAGATTATCTGTCGACAACTATTGAAATTTGTGTTCTTTTTCATTCTTACACGTCAGTTTGGTTTGTGAGGTGAGAAAAGAAAAGTTCTTGTTTGGATGAACAATGAATAAAAGAGGATACATGTGTTATTTCCTTTGTATTTAGCGGTAATTAGGTATTATATATTTTTTTTTGTGAAGAGTAATTTTGGTTTCTCACCAAATATCACCACTTTTGGTGAGAAACAAGAATTAAGTTTTGAAGGATTTCTGTTTCTCACTATTTCTCTTCCTTTCTCACCACTTCCCAACAAGTGCTCTATTTCTTTGATTTTTTTCACTGAACCCCTTAATCTCATTCTCTCCATACTTCTGTGATTTATCTCAATGGGTGCTACTACTGTTTGGATATCAGAACTTGGCCATAATATACCTTGGTGGCTAAATTTGGTTGATATCATCTTATGTTACAAATTTATTGAAATTCAATCAATATGATATTTGTTCACTCGGTGGTGTCCGGTGTCTGTCCTATTGACTAAAGTTCCGTTCTTTCTAAACTCAGGTTTAGAAGTTGGTGGCGAGTGTAACTTGGCAGCAGGGATTCAAGTGGCACAGTTGGCTCTCAAGCATCGCCAAAATAAAAAGCAGCAACAGAGGATTATTGTATTTGTGGGGAGGTAGGTACCTTTTGTTCCTTTCTGCATTTTTTGCTGTTGAGTTTTATGATTGTTTTTTCCTTAGCATTTCAAATTGTTTTATCTCAGTCCTGTCAAATATGACAAGAAAGTATTGGAAATGATTGGAAGGAAGTTAAAAAAGAACAGTGTAGCCCTCGATATTGTTAATTTTGGTGAAGAAGATGAGGGGAAAGCAGAAAAGCTCGAAGCCCTTCTTGCTGCTGTAAACAATAATGACAGCAGTCACATTGTTCATGTTCCTGCTGGTCCAAATGCTCTCTCTGATGTTCTGATAAGGTTGTTTGTCACTCTTTCATCTATGTTTGCTTGCATTGATATCAAACTTAATTCACATGAGTTGCTTCTTTCTTTTCTTTTTTTTGGCAGTACTCCTATCTTTACCGGTGATGGTGAAGGTGGAAGTGGTTTTGCAGCAGCAGCTGCGGCAGCTGCAGCTGGTGGTGTTTCTGGCTTTGATTTTGGTGTGGATCCAAATCTGGATCCTGAACTGGCTCTTGCTCTCCGAGTTTCAATGGAAGAGGAGAGGGCAAGGCAAGAAGCAGCAGCTAAAAAGGCTGCAGAGGAAGCTTCAAAACAGGAAAAAGGAGGGGAACAACAATCCACATCACAAGATGCAACTATGACTGAAAATGTCAGTGTTGCAGCTCCTGAAGCTGAAAATAAGACAAATGATCTACAGGTTGGTATCCTATTTCACTTCTAACTTCAACAATCCCCCTTTCATTTGATTTGTTTGTTACCCATTAGCGCATGTCAAATTGCCTATATGTGGAAAAGGCTTGATTTACATTTTCATTCTTTAAACTATGAATATTCCATTTATGGCACTATACACACCTGCATGCGTTCAAATGAATTCATAGATATTAGAAAGTGCAAAGGGGAAGAAGAAGATAAAAACTTTAGTCAAGGTTGTAGTCTTGAAAATTTTCCTTAATTAAGATCAACTATTCAAATGAGAAACATGCAAAAAGTTTTGGTATCTCATGCCTTTCTGATTGACTGGGATTCTCTTAGTTTTCAGAATTAGTATCATTGGGTCTATCCCTTCTCCCAAAGCCAAAAAGAAGAAGAAGTTCCTTGACTGGCGGAACATTGCTCTTTTCCAAACAGAAAGTAGGACAGCTCTAGATTACATAGTCGATCGTGGTTTCTTTTAGCATGTAAAGGTTACTACCCGAGTAGACACAATATGCATACGAAATCGCATTGATGTTGAATTGCTGATGTCCTGAGAAGCATAGACACGGACACATGACACAAAACAAACACATCGATATGTTAATTTTTAAAAAATATGAGACACAACGTGGGAACAAGCTCAAAATGTGTGATTTTATATATTTATTGTATGTCATATATATATGATTATTTTATTCAAGTTAATAAAAATATAAAACATAATGGGCTTGTTTGGTTTGTGTTTGTAGAGTAGTTTTTAAGATAAAAAGTACGAAAACTTATTTGGTTTGCCTTCTTTTAGAAATGGTTGCAGAAAATTGTTTTGGGGAGAGTTTTAAAAAAGCGATTGATCTGATGTGTATGAGAGAGAGAGAGTGATTTTGGAAAGAAACAAACTAAACAAAATTTTGAGATTTTTTTTGGAAAAATTTATTTGGTTTGATTACTCTTGAAAATTTGTTTGTAGAGAATTTTTCCCAAAAACAAACCAAACAAGCCCAATATCAATCTGTCAAGTTTAAAGAAAAATGAATTAGTAGGTATAATTTATATTTATTTTATTTTATCATTAGATCCTAAGTTGTTTTATTCAAACTTGGAATGTGTTTTGTGTGTCGAAGCAATGGACACGTGCGTCCTCCAAGTTTTTGAATCATGTTCAACTCCAAAAAAAATAAAAAAATAATAGAACATGTTTGGACGTGTTTGACAAGTGTTGGTGTCTAACACGTTTTGAATACAAACACACTATCTTTTTAGAAGTGTCTGTGCTTCTTAGCTGATGATTATGTTCTGCCAATGTTGATGATCCCTTGCAACACTACATAGATGTTGAAACTTGAAAACTACTTGTTAATTGGTTTGCTTTGTACAGTCCTTTATACATTCACTTGTAGTCCTCTTTGCGGAGTATTGTATATTTTATTTGTGAAGGAACTCTATACTTTTGGTTTTGGGAAAAGGTGAATGATAGATGTATGATGAGAGTGTAGGTGAAAAAAGAGTTAAAAGAGGCTGTGAACTAGAAGTGAAGGTAGAAATCACAAGTTTCTTGGTTGAAGGAGTTGAGAACATCGGGTAGGCTAATAAGCTTTTGAATAGGTTTTTGTATGATTTGAAAATTTTAATTCTGTTTGGAATATATTGAGAAAAAGCATTTAAGGGGATGCAGCCTGTGAACCAAATTATAACATTCTTATGCTTGTAATTGGGTTTATCACACTAGCAGCATGGTTCTTGTGGATGGTTTTTTGAAGGTTTTGGATGGAAATGAAGGGAATGTGTAGTTCTATGAGAGGTTGTATCAACGGATGGTGCTTAGTGATGGTTAGTGTTCACACAGTTTGGGACGTGATCTATTATTTTGCTCGAATGCTATTCAAGGATGGACGGTTGTGCATGGAGGGTGAGTGAGAATAAATTTCATAGTGTAGATGGCCCCTTTCAAAAATAATGTTTCATAGTCTAGATGGAGTGATAGGCCCATGAGGGTCAAAGATCACCTGTACGTGTTTTTTGGTTCTTTTCTTTTCTTCATGCTGCGAACATTTATTTGAGCCCCTAAAAAGAGGTGGTGAATGGTTATGCAATGCTTCTAAACAGATCAGTTGGGTGAGGTATCATCTACAAGATTTTGGGGGAAATATTGGCTTGAAAATGAACGTTGAAGAATAGTGATGTCGATCGAATGCATTTGATAGGACTTGATAGATCTTGCTGGAAGAACTTTTGCTACTGTGTTCCTTGATGGAAGATTGACTTTCTAAGGGCTGGAAGCTTATGAAGAGAGAGTTAATTGGTATATGTTGGAAGTAGACAAATTTTGCTTGTGGAGAGAGTTAATTGTTACATGATAGTAGTTTTAGAAGTTCTAGTGGTCTTATGCAGGGAATCAGTTTTCTGCTCACCTTATTTCACTGATGTAATATTTCAGTTAATCATTGTTAAGTTTACATAGAGAGTTTGGTTGTGCAAAGTGGTGGAAATGGGCAGTGTTTGCTATGTGCTGGACGCTACTCATCTTCTGCGGAGAGGATATTATAGTAGATATTTATATGTCCATTCAATTTGTGCTTGTAAGTGTTTGTTGTGCTCAACATTTGTTCAAGTTAATGGGGCTATTGCTTTATGTTTAATACTTGTTGTGCAACTTGGATGAGCCAGGGAAAATATCCTGCTTTTATTTTTATTTTTATTAAGGTCTTTGTTGAGGATAACTTTTTTAAGGAAAAGGCAACAAGGGACCTTGTTGAAAGGCGTCGAAAAAGTTTGACTAGTAGAACCTTTTCCCAACTCTCTCTCCGTGCCTATCAGAAGAGAGAACAATAAGAACAACAACAACATGGTGGAAAGGAAGTACCTAAGAGGAGGGAATATGACTACTTTAACCTCGTTGGCAACGGCTTTTAACCCGACTCTTAGGATTAAAAAAAAGGCAGGTGAAAATCTATTGCTTAAAAAGCTCTCCTGTTTGGCAACCAATCAGGAAAAGCTAGCTTTTTAATGGCTTCTTTTGTATGACATGTTTGGCAATAGAACTTGCTCTTTGCTTCTTAAATGTCAGTTCGATTGGTGAAGTTTCTTTTTTAAAAATAAAAAATTTAGTCGTTAAATTTGTTGAGTAATGGGGTATTTGAAGCTGAAGAAGGCTCCTCCTTGTGATGTAGGAGTGGGAGTTAAGAAGCACAAACACGTGACAAGTTCATCTCGGGTGTAAGACTATTTACATTTAACCATTCCTAGACCTCACAAGTGGTGGGAGTGGGAGTGGGAGTGGGAGTGGGAGTGGGAGTGGGAGTGGGAGCTAAGAAGCAGATATGGGCACAATTTTAAAAAAAAGCAGGACCCAACATGCCACGGGCATGCGCAAAACATATAATTTTGTATTTATTATATTTTTAATTTTATATATTTATTCCATGTCAAATGTTTATGTTCATCAAATTCATAACCTATGTAGCACGGACACGGACACGGGACACGACACGGACACGTAAATACGCAAATTTTAAAAAAATAGGGGCACGACACGCTGGGGACATATATATAATTTTTTATATATATTATATGTAAAATTAAAAAATATATACTATTTTTATTTATTTATTATATGTAAAATTAAAAAATACATACTATTTTTATTCATTTATTTTATTTATTATATGTAAAATTAAAAAATAAATATATCATTTGTATTTATTTATATTATTTATTTACAAAAAAAGGTATAAAAAAGAAAAAAAGAATAAAAAGAACAGGGAGGGAGTGACACGGTAATAAAGGAAGAGGGAAGACAAAGTGAAGAGTCAAACACGATGAGAGACGAACAGAGACGAGAACGAGCGAGAGGCGAGAACAGAGAGAGAGGAGATGAAGACGATGAGAGACGAACACAGAGAGAGAGGAGACGAACAGAGACGCGAAGAAATACCTCGATCAGAGACGAAGAGGACTTGATCTAGCCTCGATCTAGGCTTCAACAGGTTCTTTCTCTTTCTCTTTCTCTTTCTCTCTCCATCTTCAATGGTTAGGGTTTCTCTCTGTTTCCTGGTTAGGGTTTCTTGCTGTTTCCAGCGTGTCCACGACGTGTCAAGCGTGTCTGAAAGAGTTTCCGCCTGCAAAAATTCAAAAAAAAAACAGGGACACGTTAGGTCGAGTGTCGGACACGTGTCTACCGCGTGTCCGACACGTGTCCGACACCCATACGCTGCCTCCAGAGATGTGTCGGTGCTTCATAGTTCATAACCTTGGATGTGCTATTCCGGTAAAAAAATAAAAAAATTGGGACACTCCGTATTCCCAAAGTGTCCATTTTCTCTAGCGTGTGCAATGTGTGTTTAGTGTGTGTCAGTGTTTGACACGTGACCTCTAGAGAGGTATCCGTGCTTCATAGGGCGGTAACTTTTGTTTTTTTAAACTCTCATAGGGTGGTGGCTTGACTGCTCTCTTCTTTTTTTTTTTAAATAAATCTTGTGGAAGGGAATAGGGAGCTGTAGTATGAAATAAAAAAAAATGTTGGATGCATCACCCTCTTAAGGTTTAAAATACATCACATAACTACAAATATCAACTTCTCAAAAATTGATTCTATCTAGTGGAAAGATTATATAAGTTTTTATGGGTTGCTAAGCTTTCTTACTATTAATAGGCATCTGCTTGGGGTAGCAGTAGCCTCTGAAAAGTAATTTTGGAGTATTGATTAGGGAAGAAGTGTCATACTCATATCAGTCTGATGTTTGCAAGAGTGGCCTTATTTGTTAAAATTGATCATGTGTGTTTTTGGCCTTGTTATGTACAAGTAGTTGCCAATGTTAGGATAAAACTAATTGGCTTTGTGCAGAATATGGGTAAAAAAATAGAAATCATGATTGAAAAGCCACATTTCGGCAGCTTATATCTTAACTGCTACAGTGCAAATGCGCGATTTTTTAATAAAAAAGGGGAATTGTTTAGTATCTGTTTGCCTTCCCTGTGAAAATTCCCTAGCTCTTGTATGTCATTGCTGCATCTTCCTTTGCCCCTGCTCTCTCTGCTTCTGCATTTCCATTGCCAACAATGGTTTCTCTGCTTGGTACATAATTTCATTAGAATCTATTGTTCATAATATCTATGACCATTTCTCATCTTCTTGTTGTTGATCGTGTCTCTGAACTTATGGTTTACAGCCAGCAATTGGCAGAGTATAATTTACACACATTTAACATACCTTGAATTGCCTACAGGATGATGAGAATGCTTTGCTACAGCAGGCCCTTGCTATGTCAATGGATGACCCTGCTGCTAGCGTTGCTATGCGAGACACAGATATGTCAGAGGCAGCTGCAGATGATCAAGACTTGGCACTCGGTAAGTACTTAATGTTTGTTTGGTCCTCATTTCATTTTATGTACAAGTGTACGATATGTTGAATCTACAACTAAAGCTCTTCTTTCTCTAGTCTTCTGTGGTGTGTTTCAGTGATGTCCTTCCTGCAAAGGACATCAAGTGTATGCAACACAAGCACATGTTTCTTTGAGCTTAAAAATGAGATGTTATTTCTTGTACATTTGCTTAGCATTTGCCATATGTTGAGATGTAATCACAGTAAATGGCACGGCTTCACCATGTTCCAGCCGTGCATTTTCTATTAGTTAGCTCTCCCCAAGTTTCCCGTTACCCAATACTCTTATGTAGGTAATACTCATCATGAGGTAAACATCGTAATTTCTGTCATGAATTTCCAGTGGTTGGGGCAGTGTGACAACTGATTTGCCTAACCTTAACTAGAGGTATTCCAACACCATAACCATGGACTTGCTCGGGTGTTTTAGTTTGGTGAACTTATGGGGCACACTTTTTTCCTTGTTATTTTTCCTTTATAAGCTTTGAAACTATTCTACTGCAATTTAAAGTGTACTCATCAGAAGGGCTGGTAGAATACATTAATTTCTGCATTTCCAAGTGGTGTCTAACTTCTATCACAAAAAGGATTGCCCAAGACGCTGAAATTTATAACTTGTCAGATGGCATTAATAGGAAGGATTAAACCAATCTAGCATCTTCTACATCTAAGTTAACTTTTCCCCAATTATCAAGATTCTGTTCCCTTGTATTCCATGCTTGATATATTTCCTTTAATGTGGCACATGCAGCTCTACAGTTGTCTGTGCAAGACAGTACAAAAGATCAAGCAAGCGAGACAGATATGAGTAAGCTATTGGCAGACCAGTCATTTGTGTCATCAATCCTTGCTTCGGTATGTGTTCTATACTGACAGAATCTGATTCGAATTTGATTATTCTCTTCCAGTCTCTCCCACTGCTGAAAATAAATAAATAAATGAAGTAAAAAAGAAAATGTACTGTCAGAAAATAATAAAAAACTATCTGTTTCATTTTTTTTATTTCATGATGGATTTTTGGTTTCACAGCTTCCAGGAGTTGATCCGAATGATCCTTCGGTCAAAGATTTGCTCGCATCCATGCAAAGTCAGTCCGAGGTGAGTCCAATTATCTTACAAGGTCAGCATAAATGACATGCTGAATGTTTATTTGAAGTTGTGCATACTACCTATGATTTGATTTTCCTGCCCTTTCTTCTGTTTCTAGTTCGGTGAGTCCATGTCTTCCATCTCTCTCTCTCTCTCTATAGGGTGGGGGTTGGTGGATAAAAAATAAAAATTACACCCAATTTAGTTCCCATTAGATTGGGGTCTGGGATGGGGGTAGATTGGGTACCAACCTAACACTTGGCATAATTTGCACAAAGTTGCTGCTCAAAAGTTCGAACCCATAACCTCAAAATGTATAGGTTGAGTTTTAACCACTAAATGTGTCACATTTCCATTGGTCCATATGTTGACATTTAGTTGTAGTTTTTATATTTATTATGCCATTTAACATTTATTCTGATTGCGAACTTGCCCATGGATGTCAATAACCATTATCAAGTGTCTTGTGCATCTAACTATGGTGCATTCTTCCATTTTATTGTTTTGTTAGTTCATGGGTTAAATTTGTTTATTAACAACGTTTAGTCTTTTCCTTTTCTTTCACCTTTGAGATATGTGCCTTCTAGAATGTCATGTTTCTAGAACAGCACATGTCATTCCTTTTGTTGTTCCAGCCATGAAATGCTCCTAACTTGGCACATGGCTTTAAGTTAAAACTTCATAATCAAGCATTCTTCTCTCTCCTATATACCAATGATTTTTTGGCCTTTTGGTTTGCTCCAAGCTGAAAAGGTTGGAAATAAATAATAAATTAAGAGAACCTGATATATTAAATCTCAAAAAGCTCATAAATCATGTTTTTTTATTGAGCACCTTCGTAGGGTTGAATCATATAGGGTTCCTTGTTTTATGTAGCATTCTTGTGTACATGGTGGGCATGTTTTTTGTATGCATTTTGCTTTTGTATATGTGGGTTGCTCCTCCTGGGTGTTTTTTTCTATAATTTCTGTACTTTTTGTAAAAAAATATTAAAGAAATGCTTGCCACTACCTAAACTGGTTTAGCGGCACCTTTGTGGTAGAATAATACTAAGATCTTGGACTCTACTCTTGAAAACTAGCTCTTAATGGGGTTGGTATTTGGTTCCTCTGTCCTTGCGTTGGCCTCTTAACAATATTGGATTCTTTTATGCAAAACTGCCCTTAGTGCCTTTGAACATTTGAATACATAAAACCCCAAGGCTATGTTTGGATGGCAGGATTGGAGAGGTGGAATGAAAATCTCATTCCCGGTCTCCTTCATTCTATTGTGCGAGTGCATCCAAGAACGAAATGTGATTCCTGGTTAGCTACCCAGAATAAGATTACCACACACATCCTGTCATAAAATTTTCACGTTCTTGTAGGAATGTGAACCATTTAATAGTAAAACAAGTAAATGAGCAACAATATATAAAATTTATCATTTTTCCATGGAGAATTCCTAACCAAACTGCACGCCTGAATGGCTTCGACACAAATTTTATTATTTATTTGGATTTCTGGTAATTGATTCACATTACTTGTCGTTGATTCCTACAATCCAATCATAGCATAAGAGTAACTTTGCTGTATTGAATTAAGTTCATGTTTGTATGACTAGAACTGGCAGGTTGTGAATGTTTTATGCTTCAATTGTAACTTTGGTGAATGATGATGTGAATAATATTTGTAAAAAGCAAGTCATCCGTTTATGAGATTATGTGCAGTGCATGATTCCTTCCCATGTGTTTTTTCTTTTTCCTTTCTTTTCTTCTCTTTTCTTTTAACACGAGAGAGTTGTTTACTACATACACATTGACAACTAAATATATTATGTAAACAGTTGCGGTTTCATTGTGGTGTTGTTTGTTTCTGTAGTCTGACCAGAAGAAGGATGAAGACAAGGCACCCAATGAAGAGGACAAGAAATGATTTCCATTGTTCATGTCGGATGTTGCTTGTAATTTCTGAATGTTCAAATTTGTGATTTCTTGCAGATGCTTTATAGAATGCTTTCAATTTGACAAAAATTATTTTTGGAGATTGCCAAACTAATTGTTTTGGATAACTTTGGACTCGCAGTTTGGTAGTTCTCTGTCCCCTATGATCAGAAAGAACGGTGCGTAGGTGCAGATACTTGAAGACTGTCGAACAAGCTATCCTCGTTTGCATGGAAGAACATTAGTTGATGTTATTTCTGGGTTGTTTCAGTACAAGTCTTTGCTTTTAATGTGACATATCTTTCTAATGGTTCTTCTTATGGGATGATCTTGGCATTGTGCAGTGGTTACCTATGTTATTCTTGGATTAAGAGCATATTCAGCGGGTTGCTATAATAGTTACTATTGTCAAATTGTAACAGCTTTGCTAAAAAAAAACTTTTCCAGCGATCCACTAAAAGGGTGTGCCAAATCAGACATGGTTTTCATCCATTAATCTGAACGTGAAACATTCATAAAATTATGAGATTACTATGGAATGAATGGATTTGATTCTCCCTTAGTTTAAAATTCGGATTTTTGAGAATCACATTCTCATTCAAACTATTATTTACAACACAAATAAAAATTCCAACCCCGGCAGGTGGTGACACTTGAAATGTAGACCTTGGGCCTGGTGAAGGGCCGTGCACTTTTCTCACAAAATTGTTGTCATTCAAGTTGAATTTAATTGAAGAGGGGCGAATATTGGACTTGCATTCCTATTTAGGTGTTGTTTGGCATGCTAAAATAATTCGTGTTATTTCAATGTATCATATTATTTGGGTTGCAATTATTTTATTTAAGTTACATTATTTTTTTATCACATTATTTTAATTTCAACTTATATTTTTTAGGTGGCTTTTTTTATAAATCTACTTTCTAAGAGTTTTATTTCATCCAACTCATATTCTTTTTTATTATTTTATTAGGTCCTATTTCAGATAAGAAGACCAAAACATCATTTTCATCTACTTATGTTCCATTTAGGTTGTATTATTTTCTTATGTCTTAATGAGTCCTATAGGTGATATAATTATCAAAATGCCCCTAATAGGAGTGTAAAATTGGCTCGTGTCTCGTGGCAGTGCGAAACTCGCTCGCGACCCATGGGCAGCCCGTGAGCGGCCCGGGGCGGGCCTGGCCATTTTTTTTTAATTTTTTCTACTAAAATTTTATTATTTTTTACAAAAAAAGAAACTAGGACTCGGCGCGGGTCGGGTCTCGGACCGAGCCTTGAATGGGCCTTAACCGGGCTGATGGGTCGAGCCGAGCTTCAAAGTGATGGCTTAGGCCCTAGCCTAGGGTCTCGGATTAGGCTCAAGCCTGGGCCCAAACAAGCCTTTCCCGGGCACGGTCGGGCCGACCCACAGGCCAAAAAATTAGGCCCAGGCCCTAGTCCTAGCACGAGGGTATTCGGGCTTTGGATGGGCCGATGGATTGAGCCTCGCCGGTGGGCCTAGGCCTAGCCTCGAGCTTAAGTCGGGCTTAGGCGAGTCTGGTCAATTTTTTTTTAATTCTTTTTAATTTTTTCTACCAAAATTTTATTATTTTCTACAAAAAAATACATTGCGCCTCGAGCAGGCTGGGCCGCGGACCGAGCCTTGAATGGGCCTTAAACGGGCCGATGGGTCGGGCCGGGCCGGGCTTCAAAGTGATAACCTAGGTCCTAACCTAGGGTTTCGGATATGCTCGGACTCGGACCGAAACGAGCCTGTCCTGGGCTGTGGGTGGGCTTCGGGCAGCCCACAGACCGCAGGCCAATTCTACATTCCTATCAATGTGCATTTTAACATGTCAATGTGAATATTCACATTGTCAACGGGCCGGGCCGGGCCAACCCCGAGTCGCGGGCAAGCTTCGGGTAGCGGGCAAATTTTACACTCCTATCAATGTTAATGTTAACATGTCAATGTGAATATTCACATTGTCACGGGTTGGGCCGAGCCCGCCTTGGGCTGCGGTCGGGCTTCGAGCCACCCACGGGCTGCGGGCCAATTTTGTACTTTTATCAATGTGAATGTTAACATGTCAATGTGAATATTCACATTGTTAACGGGCCAGGTCGGGCCCGTCCTGGGCCGCTGACCAATTTTATACTCTTATTAATGTAAATGTTAACATGTCAATGTGAATATTCACATTGTCAATAGGCCGGGCCGGGCCCGCCCTGGGCTGCGCCATGGGCCGTGGGCGGGTTTCGGGTAGCCATGAAACGCGGGCTAATTTTACACTCCTATCAATGTCAATGTGAATATTCACATTGTTAACGGGCCGGCCCCGGGCGGCGGGTGGGCTTTTGGCCACCTATGGGCCGCGGGCCAATTTTATACTCTTATCACTGTGAATGTTAACATGTCAATGTGAATATTCACATTGTCAACAGGCCGGGCCGGGTCTGCCCTAGGCCGCCCATGGGTCGTGGGTGGGTTTCGGGCAACCACGAGGTGCGGACTAATTTTACACTCCTATCAATGTCAATGTTAACATATCAATGTGAATATTCACATTGTCAACGGGCCGGGTCGGGCCCGCCTTGGGCCGCTGGCCAATTTTATACTCTCATCAATGTAAATGTTAACATGTCAATGTGAATATTTACATTGTCAACAGGCCGGACTGGGCCCGCCTCGGGCCGCCCATGGGCCGTGGACGGGTTTCGGGCAACCACGAGGCGCGGGCTAATTTTACACTCCTATCAATGTGAATGTTAACTTGTCAATGTGAATATTCACATTGTCAACGGGCCGGGCTGAGCCTACCCCGGGCAGCGAGCGGACGGGCTTTTGGCCGCCCATGGGCCGCGGGCCAATTTTATACTCTCATCAATGTGAATGTTAATATGTCAATGTGAATATTTACATTGTTAACGGATCGGACCGGGGCCGCATCGGGCCGTCCATGGGCTGCGGGCGGGTTTCGCGCCGCCTCGGGACACAGATCAATTTTACACTCCTATTAATGTGAATGTTAACATGTCAATGTGAATATTCACATTGTCAACGGGCCGGGCTCGCCTGGCTCGCGGGCGGGTTTTGGGCAGCCCACGGGCCAATTTTACATTCCTACCAATGTAAATTTAAAAGTATGAATGTTCACATCATAAAATTGCTAACCGTTCAAAAAATATTTATAAGAGTATCAAAATTAAATATAATGACATAAGTGTCCAAGAAAATAGTGTAAATCAAGAAAAATGATTTTGTAAAATAAAACTATACATAGATGGGACTAAATGGGTTAAAAAATTCCTTCATGGATTTCTTGCGTTAAAACACTTCTAAATAAAATTTATCAATAATTTGTTTTTTTGATAAAATGTCAAAAAAATATATTAATCTAATGTTTTTCAACAGTATATGGCAAAAATCATATTTTATACAGTATTGTATATTAAATATGTATTACAATTAACTAACTAAATACTTGAGTTCGGCTTTTAATAGTGATGTCTTCATCTTTTTTGATGCATCTGTTTATGGGTAGTTGGTTATATGTATTTGCAGTGTATATTTACACACGTGTCTAGGGAAATTGTAACGTATGGTACACGCACTTTAGTTATGTCATTTTTTTATTGAGTTACGAATTTTTTTTTTTTAATTATGGTATTATTTTAGTTAAGATTTATGAATTCTTTAATTATATTTCATAAAGTATGAAATTATGTCATTTTATTTATTTATTTATTTATATAGTTATAAGGTTTATATAGTACATATCTTTTGAGGAGTGCGTGACCTTTCTTTAGAGTTGACCCAACTCAATTTAAGGTCCTATTTAGAAATTGATTATTTTAATTAATTTTTTGATTTTTCTTATAAAAGATTTGCACAGAGTAAAGAGAGTGATACGATAACTTATAGTGATTTTTTTTACTATAAACCTCTTTAGCCTAAATAAAAAAATATTTGAGAGAGTATTGATACAATAACGTCGAGTATAGAAACTCAAGAGAGTGGTTTAGTGGGTGCAACTTGAAGACGAGAGGTGTGTTCTCTCTAGGTTTCAAGTTCAACTCCATTAGAAGTATGCGGGCTCTGCTTGAAATTTGTCCGATTCCCGTAGGGAAGCACTTTGTGTGAGTTTCAAAATTAGTTAAAAGTGCGTGTAAATTGATCCGTATACTTGGCAATTAAAAATAATAATAATAATAATGTGAAGTATAGAGATATAAAAGTAAAAAATATCAAATTAAAAGTAAAATATAAAAATGCATCCTCAAAATAATTGAAGTGAAAACAACCATGAAATTTGTCTGGGCATATTTACGGGGCATTTTCTAAATAAGTCAAATTATCAATTCAATTATCAAACTAAGCCTAGTTTTGAAAGAGTTCTTAAAATAGGTTAAAACGTGGTTCACAATCACGCTTTCAACGTTTGTGTGTCTGTCCCCCGTGAAAATTAGGAAATCTTAAAAGCGTGGTTACAAATCACGCTTTTAATTAAGAAAACGTGATTACAAATCACGGTTTTAATTTAATTTATTTTATTTTTTTTTTTGAAAGCGTAATTGTGAACCGCGCTTTTAACTGAATTTTTTTTTCTTCTAAAAACGTGGTTGTGAACCACGCTTTTAGCCAAAATATAGAAACGTATTTTGAAAACACGTTTTCAACACAAAACCACGCTCAGCTTTCAATTCATCAAACACACACAAACACTCTCTCTCCCTCTGACAACCCCACGCACAAACATCACTCACACTCAATATATATATATATATATATATTTTAATATATATTTATAATTTAATATATATATATATATATATATTAATTTTATTTGGTGGGGTTAAATTTTCACGAGACTCGTAGAGTCCGCAAATTTGAAAGCACAAACCTTCATTCTCTCTCTCTCTCTTTCTCTCTCTTTGAGCCAGTGGGAGTAATAGTGTTTCAACAGATGGTGCATTAAGACCTGTTTTTATTTTTATTTTTTATTGATTTGATTTTGGATTGAGGAAATTAATAAAAATATATAGTGATTTTGATATTCACCTGAGACATTGTTGTGAGTGAAGGGATATATTGGTAATGTTGTTAGGGACCTTACGAATACATTTTATCCCTAAACACTAAGGTAGCGTTTGATAACATTTACGTTTTTGTTTATGTTTACAAAAATTTTATAAACTGGTTTCTTTTTATTTTTAGAAAAACATAAATTACAAATGTGTTTGGTTTGAACAAAATGTTTAAAAAAAATTTAAAACATAAACTAAAAATATGTTTGTTCAAGTCTAAAATATTTATATTTATACTTATTATTTATGACAGTGGGATCACACATATTATAATTGAAAAACATTAATTAAAAAATAATTGAAAAAAAATTAATTGGAAAAAACATGGTTTGTAAAAATTATTGAAAAAAATTTAATTGAAAAAAATTATTTGAGGAAAAAACGTAAACTAAAAAAATGAGTTTACGGTTTTAGTTTTCAAATTTTTTTTTCAAATAAATTGTTTTTGAAAAATAATTTTTTTTAATTAAATTTTTTTTCAATTATTTTTTTAATTCTTTTTTTTTTTCAAATATTTTTTTTTTCAAATAATTTTTTTCAATTAAATTTTTTTTCAATTTTTTTTAATAATTTTTACAAACCACGTTTTTTTTCAAATTTTTTTTCAATTATTTTTTTAATTAATTTTTTTCAATTATAATATGTGTGATTCCACTATCATAAATAATGAGTATAAATATAAATATTTTGGATTTGAACAAACATATTTTTAGTTTATGTTTTAAATTTTTTTTTAAACATTTTGTTCAAACCAAACACGTTTGTAATTTATGTTTTTCTAAAAATAAACAGAAACCAGTTTATAAAATTTTTATACACATAAATAAAAAATGTAAATGTTACCGAACGCTACCTTAGTGTTTAGGGATAAAATTTATTTAGTTTTTTATTTTAAGGTTTAGGGTTTAATTCTAAAAATTTATTTATTTTTATTTTAGAGTTTAGAATTTAGGATTTAGAATTTATAATTTAATTCTTAAAATTTATTTTTTTTATAAATCCTAAACCCTAAAATAAAAATAAATAAATTTTAAGAGTTAAACCTTAAACCCAAAAATAAAAAAAATAAATTTTATTCCTAAATAGTAAAATTAAAAAAAATTAAGAATTAAAATAAAAAAATAATTATTTTATATAGTTAATTATTATTTATTATTATAAATTATTATTATATATATTTAACATTAGTTTCAATTTTATGAAATAAAATTTATATATATATATATATTGAGTGTGAGTGATGTTTGTGTGTGGGGTTGTTAGAGGGAGAGAGCATGTTTGTGTGTGTTTGATGAATTGAAAGCTAAGCGTGGTTTTGTGCTAAAAACGTGTTTTCAAAATACGTTTTTACATTTTGGCTAACAGCGTGGTTCACAATCATGTTTTTAGAAGGAAAAAAAAGTTTCAATTAAAAGCGTGGTTCAGGAAAAAAAAATATATTAAAAATGTGATTTGTAACTACACTTTCTTAATTAAAATTGTGATTTATAACTATGCTTTTAAGATTTTCTATTTTTCATGCGGAATAGACACACAAACGTTGAAAGCGTGATTGTGAACGACGTTTTAACCTATTTTAAGAATTCTTTTAAAATTAGGCTTAGTTTGGGAATTGAATTGATAATTTGACTTATTTAGGGAAATGCCCCCATATTTATAGTTTTCTTTCGGTTTAAACCAATCGCCGTTAAAACGAAACCCCACAAGTCCGAGTCTCCGTCAACGAAATTTCCCACTATAATCCATTCCAGGTCTCCCTCAATGGACTTTTCTACTACACACCTCCGAATCTACAACACAACTGGGCCTGCCACTCCATTCCGATGGAGAAACCAATGCTCACTTGTCTCATCTCTACCCAACAGACTTCTCAATCGTCGTTGCATCACTCTTAAACCCTATAAATCACACCCATTTGTTACGATTTCTAGGGTTTAGGGTTTTCAAAAATGTCATCTTTATCAATTTCGCCCTTTCTCTGCATATGGGTTTTGCTTTCTTTGTATTGGGTTGTTGATGGATATGGAGAATACAACACCGGGAGTGGCATTGTTGATGGAAAATTGAATGTTCATTTGGTTCCCCACTCGCACGATGATGTGGGCTGGTTGAAGACAATTGATCAGTACTATGTTGGATCAAATAACAGTATACAGGTCATATTCATACATATATACACACTACTGTGTAGAATGCATTTTGATATATCAGGAATTTAGGATAGCTAATTTGCTTTATTGAGGGTGAATTTGGTGCTGTTTTAGTTTCAGCCCTTAAAATCTTAGTGCGGGTTTGGGAATGGACTTTTGTACGAAAAGACGTACAAAAGTGAATAATTTGATAAGGTGCAGTAATATTTAGACTTTTTAGCTAAAAACTGCGGTATTTGATGGTACTTTGTAATTAATTTTTCACCCACTGATTTGAATGTTATGTTTAGTTTTAGTTTTCAAAAATTATTTCCACACCCGTATTTAAAGACTCGTCTACTGACGTCCTCCGAACATTCGGCCGGTAGTCTAGCCGGTTGATCAGAATAGTATTTTTTTTTTGGCACCTGTTATTTTTATTTTTAAATAAAAAATATTTTTAGAATTTTTTTAAATTTTTTTTATGAGCTTTGAATAGCATTTTGGATTGTGTGTTTGATTATGAGTTGTAAGTTTTTAAATCAAATATCATATGTCACATCAAAAACTTCAAACTCAATTTAAAATTTTTTACAAAATTATCTTCAAAACTCATAACCAAACAAATTTTCCTGACTCAAATTATAATTCCAAAACTTACAAACTCAAAATACCTATTCTCAAATCATAATTCTAAAACTCTACCAAACGTTACTTTTATTTCCCAAACAAGGCTTCAAAATTTGACAAAAAACTTTATTTGATATGAATAGCTAAATTTGAGTAAAAGCTTCACTAATGGCAAAATGGTAAATTTTAGATCCACAAAATAGCCTTGAAAAATTCGAGTATAACTGAATATGATTGGAGGTTGCTTTGAGTGATTTTTGCCCAAATTTAAATTTGATATAGATTTGAGTCAAGGATTGGAGATGCACTTATGTGAATTATATGTTGTTTGGTGATTTTGTGCAGGGTGCTTGTGTTGAGAATGTGCTGGACTCGGTTGTTGTGTCCTTGCGCCGTGATCTGAATAGGAAGTTTGTATTTGCTGAAATGGTAATATGAATGCATCTGAAGTTAATGATTAATTGTGTCTGGAATGATAATTCTAAGCACAAGTTTTTGTTTCATTTTACTGAAGTTGAGTGTGCTGTTGTAATGAATGGTTTTTGCTGATGGCCAGAGTTTGAAGATAGGGTCTATTACTTTTACTTTAATTTGCAATCAATGACATTTTCTTCACAACTATACTTACGAAGTTTCTAGTAAAAATTGGTAATTACCAAAAAAGGCCATTACCAAATATTGGTCTCAAGAACATTGGGTGTTTGGAGGGGTAACTATGACGACCCCTGTTATTATTTGAAGGAAGATTTGAACCACATTTTCACACCTTGATTAATTAATGATCATTGTCTCTTTTAAATTGAATCCTTAAAAATATAGCAGCCTATATTGACCATTAGCTCTGTTGAGCCTGCTCTATCTTACATTTTTTTTTTTTTTTGATGTCCCTCTCCACAAAAAAGTGGGGTAAGGCTGCCCACCTACTATACTATCTCTCCCAAATAGGAGCCTTCCAACCTGGAAGTGATGTGTAAGGGGCAGTTTGACGTTTGCTTGTACTTATAGTTTATGCCTATGCACATGCAAACCACTCATCTGAACAAAGACTTGCTCAGAAATCTCTTTTTCTTCTTTGTTTTCCGTCTTTTTTTTTTTTGAAAGCCAACAAGAAGTTTTATTAAAGAAGAAAGAGAGGAGGACAAGAAGTCCTCATACAATGAACAAGAACCCAATCAAAATAAAAAAAATCAATCAAAAAAAGAAACAGAAAACAAGAAAATCCAAACACTAGGGGTTGCAAATAGCAAACCAATCCCTAGAAATTAAGAAAAGTGGAACTCCTTTAAACAGAGGAGACACAAAGGCCCAAAATGAAGCCAAAAAACCAGCCCTATCCCACAAAGAATCTACAGCAGCCTCCTTTCCATCAAAGATCCTTGAATTCCTTTCCAGCCAAATAATCCAGAAAATAGCACAAACAATACACAACCACAAGGTTTTGGCTTTCTTAGAGTCGCCGAACCCATCAAACTTAACAAGAAGCATATGTGTGCAATCCCATGGAGCAGCCCATTTAACATCACACAAACCAAATAGACGCTACCATAACTGCATAGCCACCGAACAATGAAGAAAGAGATGATCCGCCGACTCCGAACTCCTCTTACACATCACGCACCATTGAGGGCAAAGATAGTGATTAGGCCTTCTCCTTTGGAAAAGGTCATTGGTCATGACACCTCTATGAGCTAAGGATCACATGAAGAACTTCACTTTATGAGGAACACCCGTTTTCCAGATTTTCATATGAAGAGGAAACAAAGGAACGGAGGACTTATCAATGAGATTATCAAACAAAAATTTACAAGAAAAGACCCCTAAAGAATTGATATTCCATACCTTTTTATCGGGAGATAAAACTAAGGAAACCCCATCAATCAATGTCAAGAAAGATGCCAACTCAAGAGACTCCCTATCACTTAGATTCCTAAGGAAATTGAAATTCCAAGAGATTGGTGCCACGTTAGAACATGCCACCGACGCAATTGACACATTTCGTGCATGAACCAATCGGTATAAAAGTGGAAAAGGTTTGTCAAGAGATGTCTCCCCCACCCAAACATCCTCCCAAAATCGAATACTGGCCCCATCACCCACTTTCATAGACACAAACCGAGACACAATGGGAAACAAACGAGAGATAGACTTCCACGGAAACGACAATTACCTCTGCTAACCACAATAGAATCTGTACCATTAGCCTAAATTCCGACCATAAAGACTCGCTTTCCTCGGGAAATCTCCACAACCATTTGCTTAAGAGGGCAATGTTTCTAGCAACAATGTTCCCAATAGCAAGACTCCCTTTACGCCGAGGAAGAGAGACAACCTCCCAACTGACTAAGTGATCCCTCTTACCCTCATCACACCCCTCCCACAGAAAATCTCTCGACAATTTTTCAATTTGCCTTGCAAAACGAACCGGTATCTTGAAAAGGGACAAAAAATAAATAGGAATACAACTCAACACTGATTGAACCAAAGTGTATCTCCCACCCCGAGACAACAATGCTCGCTTCCAACCCTCCAATCTTTTCCCAATCTTAACAAGGACTGGATTCCAAAAGGCCTCTGTTCTAGGATCGCCACCCAATAGGAGTCCCAAATACTTGAGAGGGAACTTCTCAATGGGACAACCCAACACATCTGCCATACGAAGCTTGCAGCTACACTCAAGATTAATACCCACAACACAGCTCTTAGTGAGATTGACCTTAAGGCCGGATACAACTTCAAAGATCCTTAAAAGCATAAGTAGATTACAGACCATATTTTCCTCCTTAAAAGAGAAAAATATGGTATCATTTGCAAACTGCAAAGGAGACACATTAATCATATCTCCACCCACCAGAAACCCCTCAATAACCCCCTTATCCTTAGCAACATCAATTAACCTCCCTAACACATCAACCACTACGATAAATAAAAACGGTGATAATGGTTCTCCCTGCCTTAATCCCCGAGACGCATGAAAAGAATTTCCCGCTTTTCCATTCACAATAACCGACATATTGCACGATGACACACACCCCCAAACCCACTTCCTCCACCTAAAACCGAAACCCTTCCTTTCCAAAACAAAGTCTAAAAAACCCCAGTCCACATAATCATATGCTTTCTCAAAGTCTACCTTAAATACTACCCCCTCCTTACGTAACGCTCTATATTCCTCCACAACCTCATTAGCCACTAGGACCACATCCAAAATTTGCCTTCCATGCACGAAGGCGCCCTGTGAAGCAGAAATCGTTTCCCCAAGAACATCTCTAATTCTTTTGGACAAAATTTTTCCCAAAATTTTGTAAAGCGATGTAACCAGGCTAATGGGCCTGAAATCCCCGATCTTCACCGACTTCTCCTTCTTGGGAATAAGGCAAATGAAAGTTGCGTTGGTGCAAAGGTTAACCTCCCCACTCTCAAAAAATTCATCAAACACTCTCATTAAATCTCCTTTCATAACGTCCCAACAATCTTGGAACAATGCCATTGAAAAACCATTTGGGCCTGGTGCCTTATCTCTCTCACAATCAAACACAGCCTAACACACCTCACACTCATCAAAGGATCTCTCAAGCCATCTAGCTTTAGAGACATTAATTGGAACCTTCAATCCCTCGCCGATCCACACCTCCATCAGAGTAAAGATTCGAGTAAAATTTGAAAATTTCATTCACAATTTGCTCTTCCCTATTCACCAATAACCCCTGATCAACCTCCAAACACTTGATAAAGTTTTTTATCCTTTTTCCTGACGCAACTCTATGAAAAATTCTAGAATTTATATCACCCTCCTTTACGCATTTCAACTTAGCCCGTTGCCCCCAAAAAATCTGTTCCCTAAAAACTGTCTCTTCTAGTTTCATTCGAAGCATGTTCCTTTCATCCCTCAAAGCCCTAGATAAACCCTCCCCAACTTCCGTGGCATCCAACTCCTCAATGCCTCTAACCAACTCCGCCTTTAACTCGTTCAAATCACCAAAGACATCATGCTTCTAGACTTTGAAATTTTTTTTGACCTCTTTCAGCTTACGCATGAATTTAAAACCCTCCCACCCTTGGGGACTACAACTCTCCCACCAAACCTTAAAATAGCCCTTAAAAGAACGATCCTCCAACCACACATTCTCAAACCTAAAGGGACAAGGACCCCATTTGAAGGGGCAACTCTCAAAAATCACCGGGCAATGATCGGACACAACCCTAGGCAATGCCTCTTGCCTAATATCGGGAAACAACTCTTCCCACCCCAAGGAATGACGGAACCTATCCAATCTACAACACACAAGATTCTCTTGAAGGTTAGACCAAGTAAACCTAGCATTGTTCAAAGGGAGATCAATCAATTCACCCTCCCTAATGAAAGAATCAAAATCCCTCGTGCTTCTATTGGAAGATTCTTCTATATTATATTATTCGACACCCTCTACAATTAGTTATTCGTCGTTTGTTCTCCCTTTTCCTTGGCTTTGAATCAACAAACATTTCCATACTGTCACATCAATTAGTCAGGATAAAGATAAAATATGGATACTTAAATGAGTAAAATATCATCAAGTAGGAAATTAAAATATTTTATTACTTCATCCAGAGACACTTGAATATGCTATCACATACAATTTCATGATGCAGATGTGCGAACATTCAAATACATGTGCACACCCATATTCACAGATCTCTCTTTTTTGGTCCAATAAGCATACTAGCATAGATTAGTTTATTAACTTACAAAAAAAGCATAGTTTACTTTATTGATTTAAACACACAGAGACTTGGATTAAGTTCGTTTTGTATGGTGTTGACAAGTGAGTTAAACCCCTACATTGTAATTTTCATGATTGACCCATAACTTATTAGGGTTAAATTTTTTCTATTAGTAACTCATGTTGATAACTCAAACAAGTTTCAGGGTTTGAATAAATGATCTGCCTTCACTCTAGTGACACTGATGTCCAAAACCTACAACAGCAACTTGTTTCCTCAAACATTTTTGTAAAATTTAATAAACATATTCAGTGGAATTCTCCTCAGGATGTGATCCTGGGAACCAACATTCTGCAATTATTAACTTTCGACCTACCAAAATACAAATGGACGTACATATGGGCACCAGAAAAACAAGTTGTTCATTGGATTAATGGTAATATTTATTATTGAGTCTATATTCTTCAAAATTTTGAAAATATGTCTCCAAGGTCATCTCACCATAAAAATTTGAACTAGGATACAGAAAGTTTCCTGTTCATTACATTTCTTGTGGTGCATGTGCAAATGGGTGTGAGCCAGACCTTTGTGATTTTTGTGTGAAAGCAAAACAGAATGTGCTCTAGGAAATTATACAGTATTTTTTCTTTCATTAATTTGAGTGTTATCACTTTTTTTTTTGGTCTCGAAGAACTTATGATTTGCTGACAGGCTATTATGAAATATAGGCTTTTTTCCAAAGATGGTGGGGAAGACAGAATGTGGAAATACAAAAAGAAGTTAGAAACCTTGTTCATGCTGGTCAATTGGAATTCGTGTATGTAGACTACCAGCAACTTGTATTGTGTTTCCTTGTCCAGGATGCTGGTATATATTAACATCAAAATGATTATCTGGCACAGAAATGGTGGTTGGTGTATGCACGATGAAGGAGCTTGCCATTATATAGATATGATTGATCAAACAACCCTTGGTCATCTCATGATAAAAAACCAGTTCAATATAACCCCTCGTGCTGGTTGGCAGATTGATCCATTCGGGCACTCAGCTGTGCAAGCCTACCTACTCGGGGTTGAGGTACACAAATTTTATGTTGTTCTATCCTGTTTGTCACTAGCATGTTCTGCTCATTAGTTTGTTTTGCTGAGTCAACTAGTTGAATCGGTTTCATTGCATTATTATCGATACATGTCATTCTTTTAGAATTAAAACGTGCTGTGTTTCAGATTCAGATCCAAAATTATTATATAATTAGTGAGTACTGCCTGAAATGTCCTTTCATTTTGTTCCTCCTTTAGCTTGGCTTCGATTCTGTGCATTTTGCGAGGATTGATTATCAGGACAGAGCAAAGCGCAAGGAAGACAAATCTCTTGAAGTTGTATGGCGCGGATCCAAAACTTTTGGTTCTGCCTCTCAGGTCTGGAACTGTAATTGCCTTTCTGTTCCAGATCCTTTCCTTTTAAATGGCTCGCTTTCTTCATTATTCACTTTGGTTCTTTTGCAGATCTTTGCTAATGCATTTCCTGTTCATTATAGTGCTCCAACGGGTTTCAGTTTTGAAATCCATGATGACTCCATACCTGTCCAGGTTCTATTGTTAAACAAGCATGAGCCCACTGGAACTTTGTTCTATTGTTGTTTTTAACTTTATCTTCTCACCTGATAGTATACATGCTGTAACTGCAGGATAATCCTCTTCTTTATGACTACAATGTTGAACAACGAGTTAATGATTTTATCAATGCTGCAATCACTCAAGTAAACTCTAATTTGTTATTTTGTTTTCAAAAATTAAAGTTTGTGTTGTTTGGCTTCTCATAGGAGGTTTGTTGAAGTAACTAGAAGGTGAAATCTTATGCATGCACTATAATCTATGCTGCTTTGGACCTTCGTTATACGCAGGCGAATGTGACAAGAACAAATCATATCATGTGGACTATGGGAGATGATTTCCAGTATCAATATGCTGAGTCTTGGTTCAAACAAATGGATAAGTTAATTCACTATGTCAACAAGGTAAATTTTGATATATGAAAATATTTCAAGTTTGTTGCTTCTGACCTTAATTTTTTGTTTATATAGAAATTAAAAGACTGGATGAATTGAAAATATCTGAGTAACTCATTTAAATATGGAGGCATCAAATATGAACGGACATATAGGTCAGAGCCAGTTGCATTTGGATTCATTGGCAACTTAAAGTGAGTATCAAACACTGAATACCAAGGCATTGTTAATACTGCATATAAAAAAGAAAAAAAAAAAAAAGGTTCTTTGGATGTGATGGTGCAAGGTCTAGGTCTCTAGTAGAAAAACCCACAGATCATTGGGATATGGGATTTCCTTAATCTGTCCTAGTTGAAGAGATGTTTGAGGTTTATCTGTAGGTGGTTTAGGATGGAAAGTTTCACAGGAAAACTTGTGATTGACTTGTTAAAGCTTTCGGGATCTATGCTGGAAGAGTAATATTGAAAAGGCCATTACCCAATGGTGGTTACATCTGTGCAGGGTGTTTGGGAGGAGTAGAGATCTACCCTTTTCCATTATTTGCAGATAGTGAATGGTCTTAGACTTGAATTTGCAGTCTGATGCTTGGCAGACCTCCCGCTTACCAGTTACCACTGCACGAAGCACAGGCTGAAAGAGTAACAGTCTTATAAAAAAGGCTAGTTTACTGGTTATTTATGGTTAGGATTGCACAATTTTAAAAAATGCTAGTATACTGGTTACCCAGGACAGTTTCTACACTCCCCCACATGTTACTCTTACTTATTTAGATGGTAGTCACTTGGATACCTATAACATTTATATGTATATATGTACATACTTGTGTGTATATTGAGTATCTATATACATATATATATATATATATAAGTTATGGAATTTCACAATTTTAAAAACTAAAATTGTGAAGTTCACAGTTTTGATTAAAAAAAAACTGTTCATAACTTGAAATTCTGAAATTTCATAGTTTTAGAAAGCGAAAGTACGAAATGTCACGATTTGTTTTTAAAAAAGGTGAAATTTCATAGTTTGTTTTTTAGAGTATGCAAGTTCATAGTGCTGGACTCAAAAGAGTGAAATTTTGCACTTTTCTTTATACATAATTTCATATTCAATTGAGATCTTGTTTGATAGATATGTCAATTAGATTTCAAAAATATTAATTTTATAAAAAATGGATTTGTACAATAAAAGTATACAATTTTAAAGTTCGAAAAAAAAAAAAAAAAACTTGCCACATCAGTGCACCTAATGCGCTCATCTTAATTTTCCAATGATGATTCTATTAGAATGTGTCTCTGATGGAAAATGGCAGCAGCCAATTAAAGTCTATAAAAGGCATGGATCCAACGGTTCTAAGGCCCAAGCCTTAATTTGGCATATGCTAGATGATGTGGGGCCTACTTGGGAGATTAACTAGACTTGGGATTTATTTAAAAGTGTCTTTTGAGTTTCTCAAGTCAAATGTCTTTAAATTTCTAGTCAAGGTCTTTGGGTTATTTAGTTGGTCAAAGAGTCTGCTAGAGTCTTTCACATGATTAATGCATTAAAGAGTCCTAGGGAGTCTAAGTTAGTCATGTCATTTAATTTGGAAAGTTTTAGAATCAAGATGAAGTGAGTATAAATTATATTGTAAGTCTTGTGGCAAATTATGAATGGAATGAATGAAAATTAAGCTTATGCTTCTATGATTGTGCTGATGCAATCTTTCTTTAGTGTGATGCTAAAGAGCCCATTGGTGTGATGCCTTGGGTTTTCTAGGTGTGATATCTAGATCTATCCTTCTTTAACCCTTCCTCTACTCCCTACAAATCACTGTTCACGTCTACTGTTCATATTTACTGTTCACAACCCCCAAAACAGCCCTGTTATTTGTGTTTTTGCTCATACTCGGGCCTATTTCGAATCTGTCCTGCATCAGTCTCACATCGCCTGGAGTTGCCCCATTTGTGCTGGTTATAAGGCTTTAGTTTCCCTCTCTTTAACACCTGCGTTTTAAGGAGCAGTGTGGGTTAAGCTTTTCAACTTGGTATTAGAGCTTGGTTAGGCCTGTGAGTGGTGTGCCGTTTGTCCGGCTACTATATGTTGTGGTCCAAGAGGGTGTGTTGGAATGTGTCCCACATCGCCTGGAGTCGTCCCATCTGTGATGGTTATAAGGCTTTGGTTTCCCTCTCCTTAACACCTGGGTTTTAAGGAGAAGTGTGGGCTATGCTTTCAACTGATTCATGTACAATTAAGGGCTAAATTGTCTAAAAAATTATTATAAATTTGGAGTAGGGACTTAAGCTTCCAAATAATTTATACAATGGGATCTTATGGGTTAATAAAAAATTTATAGAACCTGATGTAAAATAAATCGACACAGTAGGACTTCCTACTTAGCTGAAAGAAAGATTGGGACTAATAGAATATAGAGTTGGGACCTAATCTAAAATATAGTTATTCGCTTACATAAAAATTTCTTCTATTTGTTTCGTCTCACACCAACCACATCAAAGCCAAAGTGACCAACTGCCAAGCCTTCCTCCTCAATTTCCCCACCTGAGTTGAAGACCAAGAGCTAAGTAACTCCCCATCCAAATAGGGGAACACCCATTCCACACCAAACAAGATAAGGGGTAAAGACCACAGCTCCCTTGTCACCTCACAATGGACGAGAAGATGACTCACTGACTTCTCGTCTTTCTTTGAACAGGAAACACCAATTTAAATGCACTTGTTTCCTTTTAATCAAAATTTTAATGGTAAGAATTTTGCCATGTGTCCCACACCAAATGAAGAAAGCCACCTTTACCCTTAGAAGGAACCTTAGATCCCCAAATCCCTTTCCACGGAAAAAGGGGACTCCCTACAACCCATGATGGCTCTTTGTAAAAGGACTTTACCTTAAAAGGCCGGAAGAGGATCTCATATATCGGATGGGGTCACCTCCATTACCAAGATGGGTGGCCTACAAATGATCGTGAAGGTTTGTAATCTCCTCCAATTTCCAATCATTAAGCTCCCTTTCTAAGGTAATAGCCTAAAAAATATTATCACCATCCAAAGTAAGGTAATCACCAACAGCAGCTTATCTATTAAATGCAATACAAGCCATGTTTGGGTAAGCATCCTCCAACCTATCATCTCCACACCATATATGTCTTGAAAATTTCACTTGAACGCCTGTTCTCTACCATAAACTGAACATGGCTAGAGAAAGAATCCACCCTTTTTAGATGCCTTTCTATTAACTCATCCCATAAACACTACTCTTCGCTAACATCTACCTCTTTCACTAGCAAATTTACATGGCCATTTTTCCAACAAAGCTTGATTAAAGGTGGCAAGCTTATGAATGCCCAAACCCCCATTTCTCAAAGGGGGTGCGCACAATATGTCAATCCACCAAGTGGTGTTTAAACTTTTTGCCTAACCTGCCTCAAAGAAAATTCCAGTGGAACTTCTCCAACCTCTAACCTCTTAACAACTGAAGATAGAATGTTGAAAATGTAGATAATAATTGGCTAGGTGATATTTAAACTCTTTGCCTAACCAGCTCCAGAGAAAATTCTGTTGTAACTTCGCCAACCTTTATTTAACTGAAGACAGAACGGTGAGGGAGGGACATAAAATAAGTGAGCAAGCTAGATAGTGTGCTCTTCATTAAAGTCCGCCTAGCACCTTAAAAATAGACATGGTTTCTTCCAGGTTGCAAGCCTTCTCCAGAACCTCTCAATCACCGAGTCCCAAACTGCTTTCTCATTATAGGAAGATCCAAGAGGAAGACGAAAGTAGGTAGCTGGTGTAGGTGTTCCACTTTGCAACCAAGGATGTCAGCAAGAACCCCCACATTCTGTTGATCATATTTGTGATTCATATGCTAAGTGTATGTGCTGGCTTTAGTGATGGTCTATGCTAACTTGCTTCACAAGAGAAGAAAATATTGTCATGCCTCTTATATTTGGTATTGCATGCAAGGTCTTCTGAGAATCTACCGGGTGAGGGGGGGATTACATATTAGTTGTATAAATAAATAAATAAATAAAAACTAATCATAAGGCAAACAAAACAGAATTGGATAATTCGAATATAAAGAACCTGTGAGGCAATTTCCTATCGCAACTTACTTCATTTAAGGATGAATTTCATGGCGGAAGTTCAAATGGATTTCTTTTACTTCTTTCATTCTCTCCATAATTTTATTTTGATGTTTTCTTTATTCTTTGTTGTCTTAAATGTTAAAACCTAGGTGACTATTCTATATGTTTACTTGTACTATACATTCTGATTTCTCTACAGTTTGCATTATGGACTTTATTGATATGTGTACACTTTTTTTTTCACGTATGTAATAGTCCTTGACTGACCATGATATATATAGTTTGATAAGTAAAAGAAAATCCAGTGAAGTCTCAAATGGAGCAACTTCTGTATGGTAGGCATATACAAAATAAAGGGCCTGTATCCCTCAACAAAATTGAGTTAGTAGTGGTCCAACCATGCACCTCAATACCAAATTCGCAATCAACAACCCACCCCCAACGCACACCGAGGTAACAACTCCACTGACAAGGCTTCATTGAATACCCAAAAATGCCAAATACCCAATCCTCCTTCTTTGGATGGTCTACACTCTAGGTCTCAATCAACCAAGTATTTAAATTCGTCACCGATGCCACCCCACTAAAATTCCTTTGAAGCTTCTCCAATCTATCAACCACTAATGCACGAATCGTGAAAAGAGAATTTTATTTACACTATCATATTCTGAATTTTAATTCAAACCTTTTGTTTACCAATCTTACTTCATTTTTATTTAACTCTTAATTAACTTTGAAATTTATGTAGGTTGAAAGTGTAATATTTAACATGTATAGAAATTACAATGTAAGACCTCACTGCATTTTATCAGTGTACTAAAAAATGCATGTTTGTGTACAATATATTAGTTGTGATGGTCTTGCCTGTGGACAGTCTGTCTATTACAATGTTGAGTCCCAGTCTGAGACTTAATTGGCGTGGAGACTCTGGGGTTCCAAGTTGCAAGGCATATATGTTTTTTCTTTTTTTTTCTTCTTGATATATAATTTTGTTAGATTTAATACTCATTAAGAATGAGTTCAAATTTCACAGGATGGTCGCATAAATACATTTTATTCTACCCCATCTATCTACACAGATGCAAAAAATGCAGCAAATGAATCCTGGCCACTGAAAACAGATGATTATTTTCCGTGAGCATTGCTTTTTAACTATTTTCGTTGCTGTATATTCTGGATATTCCTTTTACTCTAATCCATAATGCAGAAGTTTGTCTTTTAATATTTTACAGATATGCAGACAACACAAATCGTTATTTTACTGGATATTTTACTAGTCGTCCTGCCTTGAAGCGATATGTTCGTATGCTGAGTGGATATTATTTGGTATGTCAATAGAGTTTCTCTCTCTTGAAGGTGACATTCAGTATGAGGATCCTTCTGCGTTTTTCACTTGATTTGCTTGATGCAGAGAGCCAGCACCAAATTCACTCCATAAATTAGTCCCTTAGAAAGTGTTGGAGTTGTAAATGTGAATTTGAACTATAAGCAATAACTCTTTTTAGGCATGCTAAGTGACGGTCGTGGCCACTGGATATGTGCCATGAGGAGAGAGCACAAGCTTTCATTTCATGCCATGAAAGCTTGTCATTGTTGGAGCTGTAATTCTTTTCTTGTATTTATTTATGACTTGAGTCCAACCAGAAAGATAATGAGTTGATGTTCTCTTTGTCCCAAATAGGCTGCACGCCAACTTGAATTCCTTGCTGGAAGGAGATCTGTGGGTCCTAATACTTACAGTTTGGGTGATGCTTTAGGAATTGTTCAGCACCACGATGCTCTCACCGGCACTGCTAGACAGCATACAACAGATGACTATGCAAAACGCTTGGCAATTGGAGCTTCTGAGGTTGGCTGCTGACAATTTTATGAACACAACCTTTTATATATTTTCTCCCACTGCTTGTCTGGTGGTAACACTGCTTTTTTTGTTTATTATATCAAATTTAATACTTTTCATAGGCAGAAGCTGTCGTGAGTTCAGCTTTGTCATGCTTAGTTAATTCAAGATCAAAAGACCAATGTGCCACACCCTCATTGACATTGAGCCAGGTGATTGTTCGGCCTTGTTACTCAATTTTATTTTATCCACATCTAAAATGCTTGAGCTGTGAAGCTGGAAGTGCAACTATAACATCCCTTGAATTGCAATAACATCCGTTTTGACCTTCAGGATATGCCATTGTATTTATTGATAAATATGTTCTTGGTATTATGCAACAGTCATTATATGACTATTTACTGGAGCTGCAGGAGTAAATTGAGCTATCCTTGTTATGACTGAAGAGTTTGTTTTCATGGTCTCTCCCATACATGCCACATCAGAGCTGATGCCTCATGCGCGTGATTGCTGCATATATAATAGACAATTTGACATACCCTACTTATGAAAAGAAAATAAGAACAATTGACATGTATTGCTTTTTGAATCACCCAAAGGACTGAGACGGTGATTAAAGAGCATCCATATAATAGTAGATCCCCTGAATAACTTCTAAAGTCTCAGCCAATCTTGATTTGGCTCTGCATTGAAGGCTACTGACCTGATAACGAGATTTGATAACAATAAATGGACGTCCTGTGAGATGATTTGGCTAATTGGAACCATATTTTGAGACATCTCTTGCTCATATTACTAATTGTATTTGGCGAGAAATTTTGTGAGACCTTTTTTTTTAAAAAAAATAAAATAAAATTAGAGTTGGGCCTCTGAACATATCAGAGAAGAGGAAGAGAAGGTAATGCGGGACAAAATCAAACCATCTCGTTCATCTCCCTCTCTGTATACTAAGCCCTACTTGGCTCTGTAAAACCCCATGATAGAGAGAAAAAATTGTAACTTTCTAGATATTCTTTTCATTAAAACCCTTGGCTTTTACTATATTCTAATCATCTCTCTTTAATAAGGCTTAGTTCTATCATGTCTTGTATTGGCCCCTAATTTTATCTTATGCACGTATTTGCTCACATTACTTGTAAACTTTGTACAAGTACTCTGCCAAAAAGCACTATAGGGAACACATTATGCACATTGTCGTAAAACAGAAATACAAAAATTGTGCAATAACATGTGTTATAAATAAACAAAGAAACTGTTTCCTTTGGGTAATTATCCAAAGTTTTCTACAAGGTTATATGAAGTAGCCACTTATATGTGTGCAGTTTTTTATTGTAAGGGGTATCTATTATCAATTTTTGGGTAATATTACAGTAGAAAGTTGCAGTAGTGCCTGTATTATCCTTCTAGACATTTTTATTGGTAAGTGGTGTGTTCTGTTTATGTTATAGATCCGTTGTCATCAGTTAACATTTTGAAATTTTCATGTTTTTCTTGAATCTTTTCGGGTCTTTTTCTTTTTACTCCCTCTGTTTCATAATGTTTGTCCTTTTGGGAGTTTCAACTTTGTAAGGCGACATGTAATTAAAGTTTGTCTATTTTTTTTTTGGTTGACAGTGTCAATCACTCAATATAAGTTTTTGCCCTCCAACCGAGGAAGATATTCCTGAAGGGAGGAGTTTGGTAATTTTTATTGTTTTCTCTGAGATTTTCATATTGGAAATATCTGAAAAATTTTGTTCAAATATTTCAATGTTGACTTTCAGGTTGTCGTGGCATATAATTCACTTGGATGGAATCGTACTGACATCATTAGGATTCCGGTGAGTTTTTGTTTGACCAATGACCACTGTGTACTAATTTAGTAAGGCTCCAGTTGTTCAACCTGTGTTGAAGAATCAGGTGTGGCTTGCAATGTTTTAAACCCAATGCCAATATATTGTATGCTGACCATTGGATTTGTTGCATACTTGGAAGTAGATTGAAAATGAATATGGCTTAACCTCAGCAGTGCCACGCCAGTAGCTACTAAGCTAAATTGCTGTTGGGGAACTTGGTGCCATATCTGCCTCTATAGGCTTCACAACAGCTCCCCCTCATACAGTATAAAAATTCAGTCTTTTCCCCTCCTGCTCCGCATGTTGGGTCAGCAGGGTTGGAACGAAAAAAAGGGATGCATTTGTGAGAGGTAAGATAACATCAGCTGGGGGAAAATGTGTTTCTGTTTGTGTAAAAGGAAATCAAAGTTGGTATGTTGGTGGTAAGTGATAACTCAATAACAAGGAGAAGGGCTTTAAGGGTTGGCAATTCAAGGACAATGGAAGTGTGACGACGAATACAGTTTAAGGTGTTAGACAGCACTGGATGGCCTATGATTTAATAAATGATATTGCACTATGTAATAATAAATGACAAGAAGATTTTGGCAATGCCAAAAATTGGGATAAGGTTTTGAGGATAAGTTGAACTAGTATTGAGGATGAATGATTTTCAAAGGCGTACTCTAAATCAATATGCTGTGACTTTTTCAACAGGTGCATAATCCTAGACCATCTAATGTGATCTGGTAAAGTGGACTTTTCATTAGCGTAATTATGCAATTAAAGCAGTGTAACTGTTTATCTGCTGCTTGAAATAATGAATTCATTTAATAGGTGACGTACCAAACCTCATTTTGTAGAAACAAAAGTATCTTTGGAATACCAATGAAACAATAAATGAATAAGATTTGCCAATGCCAAACATCAGAAGCTTTCTATCAACCATCGGTTCACCATATCCTGCTCATCCTGCAGAGCCCTTAATTTTCGTGTATGTTCCAGCTTAAACTGCATCAGTTACATGTCATTCATCTATAGCTATTCCAATGAAACATGCATGCTTGCATATGTTTATTGATTATACTTTCAAAAATTTTAGCGCCTGATTGCGGCTTTCTAATTCTCTTCTTGCTGCATATAAAAGACTTGCATAGATTATATTATATCATAAGCTCTATTCTACATATATTTTAGTATTGCATACAGTTGGGCATTTGAATCTGTAAGATCTTGGATTTGAGTTTTGAGTGTTTCATTCTTCATTTCAATACAACCTGAAGTTGTCATGTTCTGTCGTTGTTTGAAATTGAAGTTTAAGATGCTATTTTAATCGATATTGCTACTGTTCCTTGGTGTAGGCTGTGACACTCCTTTGGTGTCTTTTCTTTGCAAAATTTTGTCTACTAATCCAAATAAAATAAAAATAAATAAAAAAATGCTCTTATTCCCTGTATGTCTGCGGAGGGTTTTTAAAAGTAATTCTGTTTTTGCTCTTTGGCTAGCAACTGATGATTACATTTTTACAGGTTAATGACGGGAATCTTGTTGTCCAGGATTCCATGGGTAATACAATTGAGGCACAATATGTAGAGTTGGATAATGTTACTAGCAACTTAAGAAACTTCTACACCAAGGCCTATCTTGGAATTTCACCAAAACAAGTTCCCAAATACTGGATTTTGTTTCAAGTGTCTCTGCCTCCTTTGGGTTGGAACACATATTTTGTTTCTAAAATAGCTGGAAAAGGTAATTAATCCAAACTATTTCTCCTGTAGACCATATTTTTGCACATTTATCTTCTTTGGTTGTAAACATAACGCAATCTAGTTGGAGTTCTTCACTGGCTCCTCAGAGAGAGAGATCTGTTTCATATGCTTTTACTTGCTTCTGCTCCAAAATTATACAGATAAAAGCAGAAGTGTGTACATCTCTGTGGTTGACCTTCCACAGAATGAGACTGTTGAAATTGGACCAGGAAACTTGAAGATATCCCTTTCTTTAGCATCTGGACAGATTAAAAGGATGTTTAATTCTAAAACAGGGGTAAGTTCTTTTGCTTTTTTCTGGCAAGAGCAATTCCATTGAACATCATATGCTAAACCATTGGCTCAGAATCAAACTGCTAACCCAACTTAGAACAGATTTTCCAGTACCATAAAAAATTAGGTCATAGATGTGGTATAATTATTTAGAAAAGAAAAAAAATCAATTACAGACAAAGTGTACAGTTGCATTTCCATTTTTGTGGAATTGTCTACTTATATTACGTTATGAAAATTGATTCACCCTTGTAAAACCTTTTTGCATTGTTGAAAAATTCAGAATGGAGGTATGCCTGATCAGAACTGTCCAGTTCATTGATCTGAGCCATGTTTCATGCAAGCAAGTCTATTTTGAAACAGTGTGGTTCACTGATTTAGTCCTTTTTTTATGTTCCATTTTAGTATTATCCACTTTATTTTATATTATGTAAACCTTTTCTCCCGGTTAGAAAAATTAACATGAGGCACAATTGATCAGAACCATCTAATGCGTGGCCTATGCTAAGTTTGCCACTTTCAAATTTCAACAAGATGGTTCACTTAGTTCGCTTTTCAATATTTCAATTAAAAAAATCTTTTGTTATAACTCCATTTAGTTCTGCTCTATCCTTTTTCAAAGGAAAAACACTTTGTTGTGCAGTCATTTAAGGAAACAGAAAGGGAAACAAAGGACTTCTGAACTACAATTTACATGTGTGTGATGAATGGCATAGTCAAGTTTAACCTCATAGCCCTCATAGAACAGTTGCTCTATGAAGGTTCTTAACTAGCCTCAGTTTTCAGCAGCCCTGTATCTAAACTTTAGTTGCATTCATGATACGCTTAAGTAATTGTTGGGAAGAACTGGACTTTAGAACTGGTATATTTGGTCTCCTGATACTCTGTATTCCGAAGTGTTCCAAAAAAGGGGGGAAAGAGAGAAAAGAAGAAGAAAGAGAGATTGAATTCTTCCACTTGCAAAAGTTTATGGATCATTATTTTATCCATAGTGCTGAAACTGGCATTGATGCCTTCTGGATCTTATTAATTCTCTTCTCTTTACATAGATGTTACAGCTACTTCAGTTCATCTGTATAGCATCTTCTTATGACTCATATAATGTTCGTAGGTTGATATACCAGTACAACAAAGCTATTTCTGGTATGATTCAAGCAGTGGTGATGTTACAGATCCACAGGTATGCATTTCCTATATATACTTCGATCAAAAGTTTACTTACACAAATATTTCCTGAATTTAAGTTGGTGGGAAGCATTGACATGTTATGTATACAATACTCTCTTGCAGAGTTCTGGTGCATACATTTTCCGGCCTAATGGATCTCATCCCAATGTGGTTACAAGATCAGTAAGAATTCTGTTTTTTGAACTAACTACACAATAATGCTTTATACTGACTTTATGGGGTTGGCTATCTGAATCCCTTTTCACCATTCCATTCTTCCTTGGATCTTGATATTATGTTAATCTTAGGCCATCTTGTCTGCTCTTGTGGCCTATTTTAATGCCAAAACCATCATCACACTGCTTTTTTACAATCAGCACACAGTTTTTTTAGTTATCAATGGTGTCTTATAAGCAGCTAATATTAATTATCATTATTATAGGTGCCCCTGAAGGTTGTGCATGGACCTTTAGTTGATGAAGTTCATCAGCAGTTCAACTCATGGATCTATCAGGTTGTGCTTTATACATGATTTTATCGCCTTATGTCAGTACTGATTATTTCATTATGTCAATACTCAATGCTAATTAGCATCAAAAGGGACCGACATTGCATTGTGTTTCATTCAGATTCAAGAACTTTTGCATCTAGAGTCTTTCTTTGTTCATGATTCCTTATACTAACTTGAATCAATGAATCTAGTAACTTTTCTGGCCAATACAGGAATGGGTTAGGTTATGACCTTATCATGTATAATTTGATGCTCGATTTGCTTCCAGTTTTATAAGTTCATTCTACGCCAGACCGGTGAGGAATAGGATAACCTACATCCCTAATGTGAGAAGTGGTTATTCAAATGCATAGCTTACAAAGCTGAAAAATACAATTAATGCAAGGAAGAGTTCTAATACCTCATATGCTGGAAATTTGTGTTAATGTATATAATAAGATAGTGGCATGTATATAATATGATAGTGGTGTTGGTGGTAGATAGTGGCATGTATATAATATGATAGTGGTGTTGGTGGTAGATAGTGGCATGTATAGAATATGATAGTGGTGTTGGTGGCAATGTATATAATATGATAGTGGTAATATATAATATGTAAGTGGCATATAATGGGTTATAATGATGTTTGTAATATCTCCTATATAAGGAGTGTCATTTGGTCTTGTAAGAAAAGAAGTTTTGAATATAACAGAAATATATTCCTTCTTCCTCATATTTTCGGAGTTCTTCTTCCTCATATTTTCTAAGTTCATATTAATAATATGTGGTGACTAGAATCTCTACTATATATTAAAGAAAAACAACCAGATAAAATGTAATGATTTTTATTCTTTTGGATCATTCTGGTCATCATGTTTCACAGTTACTCTGCATGATAAAGACATTTCTCATTTCAGTTCCAATGTTGTAGATCTAATGAGCTATTGCATGCTCTGAGCCCCTTCAACTAATACTTATCCTCCAAAGTTAAAAGTGTGGGGTTATAGTATCAGAGATAGAGAAACCATTCGTTTCCCAGTCTCAAACCATAGACCCATAGTTGTAACTAACACACTTGTTTTTATCAACATGTAGGTACTTGTCTACGTGCTCGGAATCACGGACACACCTCTTAGCATGCCATTTTTTTTGTCTACATGTGCTAAACACTAACACTTGTTAGAGACGTGTCATTATTTTTCTAAAGGTTTTTAATACTAAACAAGCTTTGGGCACATGTAGGACATGCACGTCTATTGCCTAGGCACATGTAAGACATTTCCAGGGTCTTCACATTAGAATTTAAATTTAAAAAGAAGTATAGACTTGTACATACTAATCTCACCTCTAGACTTTTATTTTTTATTTTTTATTCTTGAACTCTAAATCTTTACAACTTTCAATTTGTTAGTGAATACTTTAGCTTCTAAAACTAAGACATTGATCTTTCTATTCTCAGTTGTTGATGTTGGCGTATACTTTTAGAAGAGATTGTCATTAACAATTTACTATTTTTTTCAACATACCATAAAAAATGAAGTATTTCTCATTATTGTTTCCATATAATGAATAAATATTTAATTGTTATGTGAAAATTTAACAATTTACTTTTATTTCATAACATATAATTTTTTGAATATTATGTATCCATATTGTGTGCTGGCATAGTACCGGGGTTGTATCTGTGCTTCTTAGTTTGGATGTTTGCTAGTTAATAAATGGGGCAGTTGCAATTTTGCTTTATTATCAAATACCCAACGATTTAGTTGTTATTTTAAAGGGAGCTCTTCTTGCTGTTATTATTGTTTTTGACCTAGTAATTATTTTGTGAGAAAACAGATCTGCAAGAAAGAAAAAAAAATTAAGTGTTAGATACAAGAAATAGCAATGACAAAGTGGGGTTGTGATCCCATAAAATGACAAGCATTATGAAGAAACTAAAGCTGTCCCAGTTATTGCACGTGAGAAATTAGGAAGCACATGTTGGATAAGTGATGTTTTAGATTACTTTATTTATTTAATATATATTGTCTTTCTAGGTGGGGTCGTGATATTTCTAGTAGCTCTTTCTCACTTTGGGGCTTTACATGATGGCCATTTATACTGTAAAAACACAAGTTTCTCTAGGCCTCCAAAAGGATACCATGATGACAATCAAGTTCTTACAAAATAAAAGGGGGAAATAATTTTGCATTCTGGGATCTTTTTTATTTGATTTTTTTTTTTTTTTTTTTTTTTTTTTTTTTTTTTTTGTATGAGTGAGTGAGTAACTGCTCAGTATTTTTATTTGTGTATAAATCCTAGGTGATAATTCTGTTCCTGCCCCTCAATTTATTCTTTACCATGACTTTTTTATTGCTGATGTCTAACATATGGCTGTTTTGTCAGGTGGTTAGACTTTACAAAGACAAAGAACATGCCGAAGTTGAATACACGGTAACTTAACCTCATTTACCTTTTTCCCTGCTAATCATGAAAATTTTTCAAAACGCTGTCAATGATTTCAATTCTAAAAAACATTGCAAATGACCATTGTTCTACTCACAATATATATGATAAATATGACAGTAAAATCATATTCGAATTGAGTTCTGACTAGTGTCTGACTTGAAGATTGGTCCTATATCCACGGAAGATGGTGTAGGAAAAGAGGTCATTTCACGGATGACAGCATATATGGTTACAGACAAGGTGTTTTATACTGATTCCAATGGGAGGGACTTTCTAAAACGGGTAAGTCTCATATGATACTTTTCTTTGAAAATCATAAAGCTTTAGAAAATCCTCAAAAAAGGCACAAATTTCTTAGTTAATCATTTCTTTTCTGTATGTTTTTATATGGTTTTTTTTATATTTGTTATCGCAGAAAATTGCTGATAGAAAATTTGTATTTTCAATTTCCCTTGTTTTCCCTATTTTTTGTGAGTTGAACTTCATTTCAGTGAATATGTTGACTTTTTTTGTGAAATTATTTAGGTAGTGTACTACAAAAAGTTTTCTTATTGGAAACTCTTATCATAATTTACATGCTGCCCATAATAGAGCAAGAATAAAGTCCATGTAGTCAAGTATGGGTTAGCATGCATCCCAACACTAAAAATCCTAATTCATTGGAAGGAGCTTGAAATATGCACTTGGGTCTTCACTTGCTAAATGTTTTCTGCATTTCATTGGATATTTATGGCCAATAATCCCTGCAATTTTAAAATTTTCTGCTTTTGTTTATATTGTATACTAGCAATAACCTGTGCAATGCATGGGATTTTTCCAACGTACCAACCCCCAACTCCACCCTGTCAGACCCCTTCCCCTCTCCCACTCCACCCTTTCCTGCCAGCCCTTCCCTCCCCAATCTACCTCCACCATGTCCACTCCACCTTACTCCTACCCAATCCATCCCCACCCCCAATCCCTAAAACCATTCCACCCATCAAGCCCCCTTCCCCTCACTAAAACATTAACCCGTAGAAGACCAAATTTCGATGATTATTGCTTTTATGTTAACATTTGATAGTCAATCTAAAAAATTAACCTCTTTAATTAGTTAGAAGGAAGTTTGATTGACTATTTTTATTAGTTTCCATCACATTATAAAAACAAAGAAAAGAGTTTAACATTATATTAGTAACTAAGTTGAAAAATATGACTCACACTCCATATAATGTAAGACACGATACTCTAATAGATATGATGTTTTATTTTCTTATTCTCCCACATTTTTTTTGGCAATCAATTGGAAAAAGGTAAGGAAAATTAAGAGGGGAAATTATTTAAATTCTTAATTAAGAGATGTGAGACTTAAGGAAATGATAGTCATTTGGGGAATACAAAAAGAGGTGAGATGATAGAGAATCGACTTTATTTTAGGTTTGCCTTTTTATCTTTTTCTTCAAAAAAAAAAAATTAAGAATTAGTGGAAGGAGGAGGGGCTTGAGGACTGCCATATAGGAGAGAGAATGTAATTTTTTTATAATGCGATCTTAGGATTGAGAGTTTGGATTTGGAAGACTACTAAATTGCTATATATATAATACATTGATATCCCAACTGAGCCTGCGGGTTTTGGACTGGATGAAATGCAGACATGCTTTTTGGTAAATGGGAAGCATGTAATATACATTTCTGTGTAATTCCATTAATGATCCACATGTTGATCACTTAACGAACCTTTGTATAGAACCCTGGGTGAACGTATTAGGGTGATAGTTTATTTGCAACCTTCTTCTCTTGTTCCACCAGTGTGGTCTACAGCTAGGAAGCATGGATGTGCGTACGGACGTGGGTACAAGTAAGCATTGATATGGCAAAACCTTAAAAAATTAGAATACAGGTACGGTAGGGTACACCCACAAAAAATGTAGTTTTATAATATGTCGGACATGATATATAACAATTAAAAAAAAAAAAACAAATGCAGAAAATAATTGAAATGTTTTTGTAATGGTCAAAAGCAGAACCCTAAGTAATTTTTAGATTTTTTATAATTACATAAAATACCATATATTTTTATAAGTTTTAAAAGTAGGCACAATATTATTGTTCTGTCATTTATTTATTTATTCTTGTTATTATTATTATTTTTTGAAATTTCACATACTCATTTGGTTGTTCTAGTTCTAACTTGGTTTTGTTATCATGGCTTTCCTAGGTTCGAGATTATAGAGAGGACTGGTCTCTTACAGTTCATCAACCAGTTTCAGGGAACTATTATCCAGTAATTTTTTCAACTTCTAGTTTACTGAAATTAAGCTCGAACTTTAAGCTTGGCAGAAAATTGTATACATTCAAATGTGTCTCTGCCCAGCAGATGGACCCAAAATAAATGCAGCAATCTAAGCCCGGCCTGGCCTATCTAGTCTGTTGATCAAGGAAGTTCAAACTTCGAAGTTGCAGTTTCATTTAGAATTGAACTTTGGCTATGCATTAGTAGGACTGGTGTAACCAGTTTGGCATACTCTTTTCTGAATTTGTTCTATGCAGTAAATGTTTTCAAATTTTGGTAGTATATATTAAGCTAGATGATTTAGTATTGTGATGATTATTTTTCTTTTACGGTGACCCAAAAATCAAAATGTTGTGTATCGTGTAATGGTTGAATCAATTATATCAGGTGCTCAGACCCTTTTGATTTGAAAGTTTTAAGAATTTTTGTCATTAAGAGTTATACAAAGATGGGACTACTACACTTATTTTGGGTGTATTAGAATTCACTGGGTCAAATACAAACCTCATTAACAAGTTCAAAAATACAGCAATATCAGTTTGACCGTTGTAATGTTTTTTTAGTTCTTGGTCAATGTGTCCCTTGCTGCATTGGGTTTCTTGCTTCATTTAGAGGATATGGTAAAATCAGTCCTGTCACCTCTTTAGAATGAAGAGGAGTGGCATCATTGCTTCACTTTCAAATGGTGTATATTGAGGACTGCCAATTTGTGCAAATTGTGCACTTTGTTGCACTTGTTCCTAATGGTGGAGATCAGGGCCCGTCATTGTACAACAGGCCTTGATGTGTTTGACTTTTGTAAATAATTTACTTGGTTAGACGGTTGGTTGTTTTGTGTCTAAGACGTAGAAAATAATCTTTGAATGATCTATCATGTCTGTTGTATTACGTAATGGTTAAAGTACATTTATCTTTCCACTAGTAGTCCATGAATTAAAATCATAGTTGTAAAATGATTCATATAATATGTTCTTGAGAAATAAGATTTTTTGTATGGCCTCCTACTATAGACAAACACACTTTCTAGTCGTGTTTAGAATATTGTATTTTTTGTAGTTTTCCATTGAGGGTACAGCGTAGATGGTTGTGCGTATACAATGTAAGGAAGCGTGTCAATATGATTACAGAGAATGAATCTGTTTGAAGCCAATAGAATAGAATAATTCTGTAGCACTAGAAGTAATGTTTATGATTTTTTTTTTAGAATTTCATATTTATCATTGGTCTTGTTTGAATCTGATTAAATGAATTTTGATGATTTTATTCTGAGTAATTCCAGCTCAGTGTTGGAATTTTTACAAAGGACAAGAAATCTGAATTCTCAGTCTTGGTTGATCGCGCCACTGGTGGATCCAGCATTGAAGATGGAGAACTAGAACTAATGCTTCATAGGTTTACATAATTCTTTTTACTTTATTTTTCCCCTAACATTGAAATTTCATCTCATAAATATCTTTTACTGACATGACATTTTGAAATGATTATCTTCTGTCATACACAAGGCGTATGACCCATGATGATTCTGGAGGACTTGTTGGACCCCTTGATGAAATAGTGTGCGCTGAAAGTAGTTGTGAAGGACTTACGGTATGTTATTGTAGAACAACTACAGTTGTGCTCTGTATCCTTGCTATTTTTTTTAATGCATTATAATTGATATGTTGCATTATCCTTTATCTATAAGCAAGAATGACAGGAAAAATCAGGTCCATGTGTATGACAGAGATGGCATTTTGCCTATTTATCATGTATGAAGTCAACATGGATGTGGGATCCTATCAAGAATATTTTTCCCGAACTTCAATTTTCCTCGGTAGATAATAATGAGTTGACACTTACAAGAGTGGTAAGATTCTTAGGTCAAAATTCAAGTTAATATAGTAGCAAAAGGCACCAAAAACCTTTGGCTCAGCTAGATTGCATAGTATCAGCCAGAGCTTGACCCACTTAGCCTATTTTGAGCTCAAACAAAACAGATAACTGTCGAGAAAAGTAGTATAGTATTTTTTGTCTACAGGAAAAAAATTTAGTATTTTTTATTTTAAAAACAAGAATTTTAATGTACGATAACTTTAGGAAATGATAAAAATTTCCTTTAATTAGAATATGTGGTTGGTTTAGATCTAAGAAAGCTTCTAGGTTTAGGGTTCTAAATGGTAGTAGAAGGGTTACAACGTTCTTAGATGGAAAAGGGTGATGTTTGTTTGGTTTTTGAAAGTTTTCATTGCAGGTTTTTTAGAGAATAGGTGGTAGAAATCAACAATGATTTTATGGGTTTTTGGTGTGGATTCAAAGGCCTAAGGGTGGGGAAGCATTTAGGATTCTTTATGTTAATCCTGGAACTGTTAGGGGCTGCAATTGGGGTTTTCTTGTGTTGTGAACAATAACCTGAGAATAATAAAAAAAGTAGAAGAAAGAAGTTGAAGAATCTGACCTAGAATCCATAGGCTTCACCCTCGTAATGACTAGGCTTTATCACATAAAACACTATGATTGAATAAGACTTCAGAATATGAAACCTTACATAGATATTTTTTTTACTCCAATTTTTAATAAGACCAGAATACAAGAACATGAAACCTTGACCTTTAGAGTACATAGATATATATAGATATATCTTATTGCTTCGAGACTCCAGAGGTTGCGTAGACAAATATAGGCTTCACAACAATCTTACTCTAACTATTAATATATCATTTTAGGCCTTACAAAACGCATTTACCGCCCATTAAAATAACTTACCCAAAATGAGATCCATGAACCTGTATTACCCAATTCAGCAAATTTCGGAAGTATCAAAATGTCGTTTAATTGTTAAAAGAAATAAAACATGAGTAAACAAAACTAGCGGAATACAAGAATTAATGTAGATAAAGACTACCATGGACACTTTCCTTGGGACTGAAAAGGCTTCTTCATACCATAGCCTTCATTTTAGGCTTCCAAAAACCTGTTATACTTATTCAGCCATTCAATGGATTTGGATGTGTTATTAAAGCCTGTTATACTTATTAAGCCATTCGATTGATCTGTTGCCTATGAGAAGAAGCTGAGAGTGGTTTCATGAAGAGGTTTTTGATTGGCATATGCATGTCATAGGTCTCTATTCATTTTGGTGTGATGTATTCATTTTGTGCATTGCTCTCCGTTGTCAGCCTATTGTCATATTGATCTTTTGCGAAGGTATCGGTCAGGGTACCCCTCTCTGTTTTGGAGTAAAAAAGTGGTAAATACTAAGACATGTTTTGTGGTTAAAATTTGATGCTATAGAGATCCAAATTTATTTTGTGCAGTTCGATGTCATTTTCTTGAAAGGAAAAAAGAAGTAGAAACTTTCATTTCAATTGTCATGTCATTTTCCTCAAAAGAAGAAAGAATTGTGGACTTTTTAGATAGTAATCTTGAGCTATAGCCTGCTTGATGAACCATGATTTGTTTGCCCCTTTCTGTCGTATTTACTATTTACGAAACCAGTAAAGATGTGAGGTCTGTACCGTTCATTGATATTATCCATCCAAATGATTGAACTTTAAGCCTCAGAATTACTTTGAATTAGGTTGAGATTTGATGAATTTGCATCACTATTTTTTTTTTTTAATAATCCATGTATGCATGATCATGTGGTAGATAATTTATTTATTCAAACTAAAAGATTTTACTTTTGCTGCTTTGTTTTCTTTTCACCCTCACATTTATATATTTCTGTCGAAAGTTATCTTGCATAATCTCTGCTTCTATTTACTTGATTGCTTCTAGAAGAAAATATAGATAAAAATAACTGAATTGTATCGCATCAGTTTTTGTTGCTAGATTTGGTTGGAATGCATTGATGGCTATCAAAAAGCATTTTTTTGGATGCAAAGCTTTTTATTCCCAGTTGTTAACTGCTCAACATTGAAAAAGATTGCCATCATCAAACATATATAATTTGCTGCTATCCTCTAATGTCCCTTGATCAGGTTCGAGGAAATTATTATATTAGTATCAACCAGCTAGGTGCTGGATCACGATGGCGCCGAACAACTAGCCAAGAAGTTTACTCACCTATTCTTTTAGCGTTCACACACGAGGTATGCTTGATTGAACTGACACAGAAGATCATATATTACACTGAGAATCTGACGAGATGTTTGATCTGGCAGACATTAGATGAGTGGACATCTTCTCATTTGACAATGGCAACAACCATGGATCCAAACTATAGTTTACCTCTTAATGTTGCATTAATCACTCTTCAGGTGATTTAATTGTTCCACTGTGAATTCCTCTCTCTCTCTCTCTCTCTCTCTCTTCTGACCTTAATTTTGCAGGAGCTAGATGATGGAAAGGTGCTCCTCCGCTTGGCACATCTATATGAGGTAAAAATCAATCCCGTGATCCCCTTCATATTCCCATTAACAAAAATAAATAAACAAACAAAACTAATTTGGATATATTTACAACTCAAAAATCAAGAAAACGACCTCTTTTTTTTCCTGCAAGTGTTATCTCAACTACTTCTGTCAATTCGATGACTCCTCTTTTAGCTCTTTTCCCTAGGCCTACATCTGTTGTGGCCTTCCTTTATAGATTATAATTTATAGCTATCTGTTGGATGCATTTCCGTTTTAGTATGTTGAACATAAAGTTTTTAAATTAGGGTGGTGCGTTGCATTGTAGCTGAATTTGAGAAAAGTTTAAATTGCAGTTGATCTTTTCAATAATATTTTCTGAAAGGATAAATTGCTCGTGGAAGGAGATAAATAGATTTTTCGTAAAGAATCTAAGAGATTTCTGGACTAGTCTAGGATACGATGAGCCTTTCTTTTCAACTCAAACTACTGGTGTTCGCAAATTATAGGACAGAAGTGTTGTTTTAAGTGTTGATTGTACCTTGAAACTAGATATTTATGTGATAATGTGGATCTGTGAAGTGATATCTTAGATTTCGTAAATATCTGATACTTTGCCAAATTGATAGAAGCAAATTCGTTCCACTGACTGCACTGCACATTTTAGTTCTCTCATCCATTTTTTCCCATTATTTTACTCTCATTCACTTCTTTCATGCTGCAAATGTGGTTAGGCAGGGGAGGATGCTGAGTACTCAACATTAGCCGAAGTTGAACTGAAGAAGATGTTTGCTGGAAAAGTGGTATGTACTAGACTATCAATTATATTTTTCATTTTTTCTCCTGCCCACTTATTGTGCTAATGTGTGCCTAGATTGTGCCTCATGATACTTTCTTTTTGATCTGGAAACTTGAGGTCCAGTCACAATTACAATTTGTGGGTCATATATTTGCACAATATTTAGTGCTTATTTTCGATATTTAGTTTTCATATGAGATCCCATAGGGACCGGATAACTGACTTTTAAACAGTTGTATCATAACACTTGATATATATATATATATATCAAGAATCTGTATTCAAGGAAAAAGATTCATATAGCCAACCTGCCCCACCTGACTTGATTGGGACACGAGGCTAGTTTGGTTTCGTTTATATATTCAAGAAAAGTCTTTTCCTCTTTCCACACACACACACACTCTTTTCCTCTTTGTTTTTATATAGCAACTTTCTAAAATTATAAAAACTCATAAGTGTATTGAGGGACGAGGACATGCGTATCTATGAAGTGTCCTCAATGTGTCCCGCAAAAAATAAGAATTAAAAAAAATAGACACCCAACATGTCTTACATGTGGACATGGGTGTCCAAGGCAAGCCGGTGTTTGATACATGTCGGACATGGACACAACACTTGTTGGATTGTCAGTGTTTCCTAGGCGATAGTGGTTCATTTTGAATTGTCTTTGTGTTGATTGGAGTCAATCTTCCAGATAAAGGAGGCTGAGGAAATGAGCTTGTCAGCAAACCAAGGGAAGGCAAAAATGAAGAAGATGACTTGGAAAGTTGAAGGGGACAATGGAGGGGAAGCTGCAATTGTTAGAGGTGGCCCTGTCAATAGTTCAACTCTTGTTGTCGAGCTTGGTCCCATGGAGATTCGAACTTTTTTGCTAACATTTTAGGGATCTCTCCCTTGTTAACTTTTTTACTAGTCTTGATTCTTCGTACTAGTCTTGATTGCGAGGAAAGTATATTGTCTTGATGGATGGCGCATATTTTCCATTTTCGTATAGATTTTGAGCAATGGTGGGGTTCAGGTGGGATGTGACAACATGGTGTGCACTGTTGTAAGACTAGTTGCCGAATGAGGTCCTGGTTATGAAGAAAAAACAAGAACTGTACATATTAATGAAAGTCAGATAACCAGGAACAAGAATCTGTATTTGTTTATTAAACCCAGACTTTGGTTTCTTGTCTTGTGACTTGCTAAAGCAAAACTGTTGTTAGTTTCAGATTGACCCTTCTTTTAAGAAGAAAGAAAAATTGACAAAAGCTCATTTTTATAAAACAAAAGCAATGAAAAGTCACCTTTTTCTTTTCTTTTCTTTTTTTTTCTTTTTTTTTTTTTTTTTTAAAACATCTAGTCGTTTTTTTTTTTATGCAAAAATAGTTTTACAAATTGGAAAATAACGTTTTGGTGTTTCTAAAAGTAGGTTGTTTTTTTTGTCAAAAAAAATGTTAAAATAATTTTTGAAAATAACTTGCCAAACAAGTTTTTTATTTTTACTTTCTAATAAATGGATACAGATGGAGAAATACGACCATACAATACAGTTTTTTTTTTTATTCAAAAGAAAGATTACAGCAGACGAAAGAAAACAAAAGCACAGCAACAGCAGCCCATACAATAAAGTCGAATCAACTAAAAGTGATATGCATGTGCAAATTTTTATCCTTTCTAAATTCAAGAATGATTATTATTCTTATAGGTTGCATACTAAAGTTGTGTTTGGATTTTTAATTTATTGATGATGTGTTTAGATCATAAATTTAGGTAAAATTTGACGATAAAAAAAGAAAAAAAGAAAGAAGAGAAAATGAAATTATATTTCATTTACATTTATAAAAAGAGTAAGGAAATACAATTACTTGCACATATTTTTTACTCAAATTTAAAATCAAATTAAATTTAAAAAAATTAGTAAAGGGTTTACTTATTGATTTGGTTTGTTTCAAATTCATATTTTAATTTGAAAGAACTTAGGGGCTCATGTAATTTATCATAGATTTTATTTTGATAATTTAAATCGTTAATTTTGTAAGGTCCTTGAATTAGGGGTGTTCACGGGTCGGTTCGGCTCGGGTTTACCCTTAATCCGTCAGCTGAACCGACACATTCGGGTTACAGAATCGGCCATCCGTCATCGACCGAACTACTATTCGAAATCGACCGAATAGAAGAGATCAGTTTGGCGGTCGGTTCGGATGATTTTGAATATCTAACAAAATTTTTTTAAAAAAATATGAAAAATGAAATAAAATTTCAAAACAATAAATTTAAAATTATATATATACATATATATCTTCTATCTATCTATCTATCTATCTATACTATTATAAAGTGAACACATAAGACTTGCCATTACCCTTAATCACCACCATTGTTACTGAGATGAGGAAGATAGTGAAAGATGGGTTTGTCATGAGAAAGAGAGAGAGAGAGACGAAAGGGGAAAAAAACAGAGATGAAAAAGACTTAGATGGGTTTGTCCCTCAAAAGGAGACAAAAAGAGAGAGCCAAACAGGGGAGGGAAAAAAAAAGCACAGAAATAATAAAGGATGGGTTTATCTTTCAAAGAGAGAGAGAAGATGATGAAGTCGAAAGGGAGTAAGAGGGAGATGAGAGGTTTCAGAAGACGAAAGGAAATGAGAGAGATGAAACGTGATGATGTGGGGAAGACAAAGGGGTAGGTGGGAAGTCAGATCTATCACTTGGAAAGATGATGAATGCTTGGGAAGATATAAAAGTTTTCTTGAAAAAAACAATAAGATGTTATGTTGCTGTTGTTTCATTTTTGTAGGCAAGTAAATCCCAAGTAATGGTTAAAAGTATATATAATACACGTATATATTTTCTGTCGGTCTAGATTGGGTGAATATTTTTTAAATAAAGGTGACTTCTGACCGAAAATTAAATAAAAGGATAAAGCTTGGGAGCTCGAATGAGCTCCCCCCGAATCCCCTAAAAATGGAAACAGAGGGAAAAGAAGGGGAAAAGAGGGTGAGGGCAAAAGAGAGAGAGGGAGAAAGAGAGAGGAGAGGAGAGAGGGAAACAGAGAGAGAGAGAGAGAGGGAGAGAAGCTCGGCCGATCGTCGGCCCATCGCCGATCGTCGCAGCAGCTCGCCTATAGCGATCCCGATTGTCCCTTGACTGTTCTGTTATATCCCGGACTCAGTTCCGTGGAGTTGAGTGTTGTATCTGTCTTGTTGTCATTCTTTAATTCTGTTTGTTTGAGTTATAGGATGTGTTGGGCTTGTTTCGAACAGGTGGGTTGAACCTTGGTCTGAAATCTTGTTGCCGGATTTTTGGTCGTTCCACTCGAGCGGGTCTTTTTGCGCTCGAGCGGATATTGCACACTCCCAGATTTTTGTGTCCCTGCAAAACTTTTGCAGGTGTGATTTTTACGCTCGAGCGGGTACTCTGGCGCTCGAGCGGATAATACCTTTTACGTGTAAGTTCTGGGAGGGGGAAAACTACGCTCGAGCGGACTAGTTTTCGCGCTCGAGCGGATATGCTTTATTCTTGTGTCTTGGCGCTCGAGCAGGCCTTATTGCGCTCGAGCGTATCCAGATTTTTGTTCTTAACGCTCGAGCGTTGTGTTCTCCACTCGAGCGAGAATGTCGTATATCAGTTGGTAGCTGGGCATTTTAAAATCACTTTTTGCATTCTCTCTCTCTCTCTTACTTTTCTAAAAAGCCATTTGAGAGCTCCTCTCTCTAAAACCATAACTTCTCTCTAAGTATTGATCTAGCTAGGGTGTTTTCCTCACCTTGGGTCTTCACAAAGGTTGGGTTGCTCATCGAGGGCTTTACCTTGATCCAAAAATTTCGAGTTTTGGAGCACGTTGAGTTTCGTCATCTTCTTCCCTTGAGCTCCGAATTTGAGATAGGGATTCCTACTCACTATTATGGTCTTCGACATAGATTATTGGTAGTTTTGATAAAGTGTTGAAGTTGGTTGATTTTGGGACTTAGGGTTTCAAAAGGGTATAAACGAGGGTTTGATGTTTTGATTCTTAAACATGTATTTTGGGTTTCAAAATAATGATGTTGTTGTTGGTTGTAGTAGAAGTAAAGAGATCTGTAAGTATATTATTTTCCTTTCTGTACACAATTTTCTCGGGAAAATTTTGAGGTGATTGATCCGTGTTTATTTGAGATCATTCCCTGTTTTTTGCTTTGTTATTTGCTTTAATTTTCTCGGACTAAAACTAATCAATTGGATATGTCATAGAGTATGACTGTTGATCGAATACATTAACGTTATGTATTAATTGATTGTGTATATGACCTATGTGTATATACATTGTGTGTGTGGGAGGAGATAGGGGATGTACTCCACGGTTTAGGGGAAGATTGGGTATGGACCTCTAAACCGGATGTTGTTTGGGAGGAGATAGGGGATAGACTCCACTGATACAGCTCATATGCTTGTCAGATAAGGTGTTGATATAGCTCATATGCTTATCTTTGGAAGTGTTAATACAGCTCATATGCTTGTCATTGGGAGTGTTGATATAGCTAATATGCATATCTGTTGAAATGAGGATACAGCTTGTATGCTTATCTGTTGAGATGTTGATACAACTAGTATGCTTATCTACTATAAAATGGGAAATGTTTAATATGAGTCTTGTCTCGTATAAGTGGTTGGCCAGGTTCTGAGCCATTGATGTAAATTGTGAGATTGATAAGAAATGGAAACTGAAATGAAACATGAACATTTATCAAATTGCTAATGTCTTAGTCATTGCTCATACTGTGTTTAGCATATCTCTACTGGGCGTTGGCTCACCCTTTATGGGATATTATTTTCAGGTACAGGTAGTATGCCACCTCCAAGGACATAGCTTGGATGATGATAAAAGTTGAAGACTCTTTTTTTTGTTTATTTTGATGTATTACATGTAAATTCAAGCCAAGGGCTTAATATGTATTGAGTTAGTACTCTTTCTTTTTGTAACCAAGTGTTAACTTGGAAAGCTGTAAGTCCATAGGGCATTTGCTTTTATTGTTAACATGTAATACAGTTGTAAGAATTACTCTAATGAATAGAAATGGTTGATTTCTTTTGTATCAATGCGTGTCTAAAGTGATGGGTTTTGTGTATTATTTTGAGGGCGTTACATCGCCGATCGTCGCAGTAGCTCGCAAATCGTCGCAGCAGCTCGGCCTCCGCCTCGCCTCCGCCCCTGGTTTATGCCCCCTCCTGTCCAGTTCTTCCTTCTCCCTTCCCTTCTTTTGCTCTTCTTCTTCTTCTTCTCCCTTCTCTTCTTCTTCTTCTCCCTTCTTCTTCTTCGTTTCTGATTCAACCAAAAAAAAAATAAATGGAAAAACGACATCGTTTTTGAAATTAGGGGGATTCGGAGGGGCTGGTTTCGAGCTACGTAGCATTACTCTTAAATAAAATTGAAGAATTTCAACCGCAGCCGACCGTGAAGTTGGTCGAAACCGCCCGTACCATGAACGGGTCGGCCGGGTTGGGTCGGTTCTACGACTAATTCGGTTTTTTGCACACCTCCTACCTTGAATATATAATATACATGAAAAAAATTAAGTCAATTTGATAATCGTAATATTTTTATTTTATAGTGTTTTTTTTTCCCAAAAAAATGGACAAGTATATTTTTTAAAATGGATTATTCATTTTTTTAAGACAAACTCGATAAAATAAAAATGTTATGATTATCGAATCGACTCAATTTTTTTCATAGATAATATATATGAAAGACCCTACAAAATAAATAGTTCGAATCATCTAAGCGGGATCCAAAGTGGGCCTTACGAGTTTCTCAAGTTGGAATGTAAAGTACATTCAATAAGTAAATGTTGAAATTCTCTCAAGTTTAAATATAAATTTGAAAGACTTGTGGGGCTAACCACAGGTCAATGATTAAAATTATTCATTTTGCAAGATTCTTAGTAAATGTCATTTATAAAAAATAAAAAAATAAACCTGATAATCATAATATTTTATTTTTATGCGCTTAGTTTGTGTAGACCGCCTGAACTCGCTCCGCGTGCAAGGGGGCGAATTGGGTTCTAACTACTACAGTTCGAACTCCTGTCACGGTTCTGAATTTAATCTCACAAAGTGCAATGTAAGACTGATAAATCACCAAAGAGTCCAAATCTGACAAATCGTTTTGGAAAATCGATTTTAATCAAGAAGTGCCAAACATGAACTGCTTTGCCAGATTTCAGAGTCACCACCTAAGTATTTTGTTTTGGGGAAA